ACGCTGATTGACCATAGAATGATAGATCAACCGATATAACTCATTCTTTAAAAAAGTAGAAAATGGTCTTAAATGCAGCCACCATTCAGTACCACTCTTTTTCTTTACTTTGTTGTCATCGACATCATTTTACATGTTGTAACTAATTTTATTGTACAGAAAGTCTACTTTCATTTTGACAAAAGGCAATATTAGAATGTAAATATGAAAGTAAAAGGCAATGGTAAAATACTTATAAATAACTGTAATAATAAAATTATCTCTGTTACAACCTTTTTAACTATAAACCATAAGTAAATGGTCACATAGAAATATTTTATGATCTAATATGATAGGTTTTTGTGGTGAATTTATTGACAATATTTGGCACATCATCATCTGCTTTTTTGAAATTTGAAATTTAAAAGTGTTGTATACCTAGCATAAATTTGTCATTTATGTGGGAAATTATATGATGAAAGCTTGTTGATTAATTTTTCAATGAAAATTGAGCATTCAATTCAAGCCTTTAATGAATGTCTATTCTAAAATGAGGTTATGCAAATTAAAAAATATACATTGTACAAAATGTATCTGGTAGCTACTGATCCCTGAGTTAAAATAAAATGATTTGTGATGTGCTTGATGTTGAAAAGGGCTCTTCTACATGCATGATGCACATTTTGGGAAAAATGTATAGATTTTGATTATTTTTCAACTAGTTTTGTAAATATAGAGCACAATTATTGCAAGTACATTGTACCAACTATGCATGTTAATTTATAATTAATTACAAAATGTACAATGTTTGTCTACATTTAGATGTATATGAACAACAACACCTCCAATGTAATTTTAATTTTATGCGATTAATATTTGTGACCAACAAAGACGACAAATATGTGTTAAAATTTGTAATCTTTTTCACTGTTTTTCTGAAGAATAATTAAATTAATGTTCGATTGCTACACATTGGTTGACAGAAAATCTCGATGAATATATACATAATCATGAAAATATTTGATTTTTAATATTTGTTAGATAGGGTTTAAATTTTGCACACATATACATTTCAACTATCGTTACCAAAAAATCACTTCATTTTGTAGTGCAGTACTTCAATTTTTTAGGTCAAAATTGGTCCTTAAGGATGTTTAATTTGCTACTCTCGTTTTTCACATTTTGTCAGATATTCCATGTATTCTGAATCCTCTAGTTTTAAAACTTTTATCCATGTAGTGCCAATAAAAAATGCCCTCTAACCCCTACTTTTATTTTCATAATTATTATGAGCAGTATATTTGTTTCAAAGTCAGTATATGAATTTGCATTTACTAGTGTTATTGTCTATGGATGTATTAGTTACAGTTGCATACTAATTGAGAGATCATCCTCTTTGATTTTCTGCATGTGGACATTATTCTGCATTAACATGTATCTTTACTTTGTTCTTCTCATGAGATCCTCATGTACCGTAATAAGAAGAGTATGTGGACCTGTATGTATTTAGGAAATGCCACGCTTTATCGTACGTCAAAAAAAAAACTTTCGTATATTTCACGTTTAAGAGTCCTACATGTATATAGAATTTTACTCAGAACTCAGAAAGTTGATACCAGCGTGGGTTATGCTTAAACCTCTTATTCTATATGTCAGGTAACCTTCTTGTGTTTATGTTGGATTGCTGTCTGATTGACGCATACCGGCCATTTTATAGTGTTTTTTTTTAATTTTTCGTGTAGGGATGCATCCGCACCTTATCATTTAAAATATATTTCCATGACGTACATGTAACCTCAACAGATTAGTTTAAGATGTTTTAAAATAATGTTTGTAAAGACATTTTACATGTCTAACTTGAATATTTAGTTTTTCGACGCCTGCGCTCTATGTTTCCTGGTCCTTAACTTGGTTGAAACCCTGCTGATTTTGTCAAATCTCGCCAAAATCTCTTATCTTGACCTATTTGGGATGTAAAAATCAACGCTTTAGAATAAAACTTTGACACAAATAGTTCTATTTAACTTTTTCACATGTCTTTAGGTCAACTTAAAACATTTTTTATCGTGTAACATTGAACTTTATAATCGGCGCCAAATATGGCCATTACCGAACTTACCCCTTTTGCTTATCATAATTTCCACATAGTTACAGTCTTCCATTATGCATACATTCCTTGAACTGTCAACAGAGACTAGTCAAGGACCATCTTTTACATAATGAATAAAAAAGGACAGTCCTTGACAGTTTTTACACAGAGCCCTTTTCATGACATTGTTAATTTTGATGCAGCTGTGTCCTGTGGGTTAAGCGCAGTCTCTTAAAAACCTGTAAGAAACTGTCAATGTACTACATGTATATATCTCAGATGAGACAAGTTGTTTTCAAATTTTCATTGGTTCAGAATGGACATGGTCCACAACAATGCAAATTTACATATTTTTATTTTTCAGTTCTGTTAAGAATGGGAGGTGTTTATAACAAGCTGTTTAATCAGAACATGGTGAATGTAAACAGTTTTGTACATGTACATGTATACACATGTATCATGTGTATATAAATGAATGTCACAAAATTTCCATAAAATCCCAATCGCCTGTACTTTGTTAGTGCTAGAATGTATCATTAGACTCTTGTAACTTAATTGAAAATTGTAACAATAAAATCTCAAATTCGCTGTTGATTTTGATAGCTAGATTGTTGAAAGTACAAAAAATGTAACAGTTTCATATGCATATGGCTACCATGGCTACATGTGTGTGGCAACGTTCTAGCACTATTTTAAAAACACTGCTTATTGAAATCTGACCATATGATCTATTATGACATTCATTATGAACCTGCGCTTCTAGCTTAAGAGCTCTTCTAAACTTTGCTCATTGTCATGACTGTAAAGTGTCATTTGCTAATGTGATTGGAATATTGTGATTGTACCTGTGTACTATTGTTCTCACAATATTTTTTCATTAAAAAAATTGTGTCAAATGACTCATTCCTCATAGTTCTTCTCTGATACTTGGGGACCCATTTAAAACAAAATCAAGGAACTGGGCCTCGTGGAATATCTTTATGGTAAACCTTTTTTAGTAGCTTTTATCACATATATCATTTTTGATTGATTTGTGTGTTATAATCATGAATTAAAGTTCAAGTATTTGACTTGTGTTTGGAGTACATCTGTACATAAGAAAATGCCTGCACCAAGTCAGGAATATGACAGTTGTTATACATTCGTTTGATGTGTTTAAGCTTTTGATTTTGCCATTTGATTACGGACTTTCTGTTTTGAATTTTCCTCGGAGTTCGGTATTTTTGTTGTTTTACTTTTTACATGTTTGCCTTACCAACTGGTATAAAAAAAAGGGAGATCTATGTGGTATGATTGCCAATGAGACAACTATCCACCAAAGTTCAAATGAAGTGAATGTAAGCAGCTTGAGTATTATGAGGCAACCGTAAGGCCTTCAACAATGAAAAAAAACTACAAGTCTACAATTAGTAACTCATTGATATTAATGAATCTACAGCACCCCTGGACAAAAGCTTTAATTATTACCACATTATGCGTTGCTTGTATCACTCACCAGCATGCTTTAGTCAGTAGTAATGCTAGATTTGAGATACATGTATATTTATATCATGTATATTAATGCTTTGCTATAACAATTTGTCATTTAACATGTTTAAGGCTAATATATTGGTAAGATATAGTACCAGTTAAAACTTTCATTTAGATTTAAGAGCTGTGACAAACTATAGAAAAGTGAGGAGATGTGGTACATTGTATTATTGCCAATGAAACAACTATCCATATCATGTGGATGTAAGCAGCTATAGGTCACTATATACGGGGTCTTCAACACATACCATATATATACTTGAGGATGAGCGTCATTTTTTAATTGAATGCTCACTTTATAATGATTTGAGGGATGAACTCTTCCAGCATATTCCTAGCACTTGTCAGAACTTTGATAATTTAGATGAATCTTCCAAATTTGTTTGGATGTTAACCATGTTGACACAGGCATGACAGGAAAACTTTACTATTACGGAAAAAATTGGTGATTTTATTGGTAGTTCTTTTAACTTAAGAAGAACAGGTCTTGATACTGTTATTTAATATCAATGTGTTCTTTATTATTTTAATTTTGTTTTGGCTCTGATTCTGACTAAGGCTTATGGTGATTTAATGATATATATTTTATATTGTAATGTCTTATTGTTGACCAAATTACTTCAATCATGATACTTGATTTATATATGCTCTTTATGGACACTGTTCATGCTGTTAATTGGAAAATAAAATATTCTATACTCAAAAAAATACCAGGCTTATAATTTGCTATCCAGATGCTCTTTTCGTCTGCATAAAACTCATCAGTGGGACTTGAAACGAAACAATTGGAAGGCCAATTCAAATATGAAGTTGAAGTGCATTGAAATTTAAAAATTCCGAAAAGTTGTGCTAAATATGGTTGAGGCCATCTATGCCTAAGGATAAAAAAAACCCTAGTGTTGCCAATACTTTTAAATTTTGTAAACAAAAAATGTACAAAATTTGTCTGTTTCAACATTGATCATAGATATTTTATGTAAACACAGAGGTGCTGACTAAGTGATAGGGTGCAGATATTCTCAGGGAGTACACATACAAGCTTAAGTTTATTGAAAATGTTTTTTAAACATTATTGAACCTTTAAATTTGTGGTTACTTTATTGATATAAACAAAATCCACAAAAATTAGTACTCCACAAATAATAATGAATCCACAGTATATAGTACATGGTATATGAAAATAGGTCACTGCTAGACTGGCAAAACTAATTAAGTTATGCAAATGAAGTACAAAACTAATATCCTAGAGTCAGTTTCACCAGAAAACTTACGACTAAGATTGATCCTAAGAATACTGAATTGTTCATAACTTACGATCAATCTTAGTCGTAATTTTTTATGAAACCAACTCCTGAATCTTAATTCATCTAATTTTTCAAACATTGAATCTATTTTATTGTAGACTGTAGAAGAAAAAGAAGATGTGACGGACACGGCTGGAATGTCAAATGATCAAGTATCTGAAGATAGTGTTGAAGATGAAAGTACTGGAAGACCACCTCCAGGTATCAGCTCATGTCATGTATAAGTTTTGTATTCCCCCCCCCCCCCCCCCCCCCCTATTTCAGACAAGTAAGAAGGTACATGTGTTTCTATAGTACACAGGAGGTGATTCTGTTGAAAATCATTCTGAGTGGCCGCGGTGAATTCTCGCAGTGAATGCTAATGATTGTTGGTGATATACTCTGAAATATCTCTTTTATATATGACAGTGCCATAGATCAGAGTGTTGGCACTCTTAATCACTAGTAGAGCATAACCCTGTTTCACAGTGTATTGAGAGTAACACTCAATCTAGCAATCACCCTGTTTTATATTGAATCACTCAAAAACAGCATTCACTCTGTTTATAGTGAATCACTAAAACCAACATTCACCCTGTTTCATTGTGAATCACTCAAATCAACATTCACCCTGTTTCATTGTGAATCACTCTAAACCAATCACCCTGTTTCATAGTGATCACTCAAAAACAACCATTCACCCTGTTTATAGTGAATCACTCAAACCAACATTCACTCTGTTTTATAGTGAATCACTCAAAACCAGCATTCACCCTGTTTCATTGTGAATCACTCAAAACCCACAATCACCCTGGTTTAGAGTGATCACTCAAAAACAACATTCATCCTGTTTATAGTGAATCACTCAAACATTCACCCTGTTTTATAGTGAATCACTCAAAACTAGCCATGACCTTGTTTCACAGTGAATTATTCAAAATCAACATTTCACCTGTGTCGTTGTGAATCACTCAAAACTAACATTCACCATGTTTCGTTGTGAATCAGTCAAAACCAACATTCACTCTATGTCATTGTGAATCACTCAAAACCAACATTCACCCTGTTTCATAGTGAATCACTCAAAATCAGCAATCACCCTGTTTTATACAATGTTAAAGTGAATCACTCAAACCAACATTGACCCTGTTTGATGGTGAATAACTCAAAACCAGCATTCACCCTGTTTCATAGTGAATCACCAAAAACATCTTGGTCTGTTAACTTTTGAAAAAATCTTCTCTTCTCTGAAACTTTTGGGCCAAATTGATCACAATTATCCATGTGGTACTGTATCTAGACTTAAATATGTGTCAGATGGACATGCCTTCAACCAACATGGCCATTAAGGTTGACAATAGAATATAGGGGTGAAGACAAGTAGTCTTTTATTTTGAAAATTGTTTTAAATAGAGAAAATCTGACAAGGGCACAAATGTTTAGAATGTCAAGATCTACATGATGTCTTATTTGACCATAATTGTCAGACTTCTCCTTATAGAAGTTATTGTCCTAAAAATGTCAATTATACCATTTTGTTTATGTTTTTATGCCCGCGCCGTAGCGGAGGGGGCATTAAGTTTTACCCTTGTTCGTCTGTACATCCGTCCGTACGTCCCAAATTTGGTTCCGTTCTGTAACTTTAGTTTGCCTCAACCAAATGTTATGAAACTTATACACAATGCTTATTATCACAAAACACAGGTTAAGTTTGAATTTGGGTGGCGTCACTCTTACTGTTCTAGAGTTATGCCCCTTTACAAATGGCAAAATTGCTGAATTTTTCGTTTCCGTTCTCCAACTTTAGTTTGTCTCAACCAAATGTTATGAAACTTATACACAATGCTTATTACCACAAAATACAGATCAAGTTTGAATTTTGGTGGCGTCACTTTTACCGTTCTAGAGTTATGCCCCTTTACAAATGGAAAAATTGCTGAATTTTTTGTTTCCGTTCTCCAACTTTAGTTTGCCTCAACCAAATGTTATGTAACTTATACACAATGCTTATTACCACAAAATACAGATCAAGTTTGAATTTTGGTGGCGTCACTTTTATCGTTCTAGAGTTATGCCCCTTTACAAATGGAAAAATTGCTGAATTTTTCGTTTCCGTTCTCTAACTTCAGTTTGCCTCAACCAAATGTTATGAAACTTATACACAATACTTATTACCACAATACTCAGATCAAGTACAAATTTGCAGTGTTCCCGCCTGCCGTAAATAGAAGGGCGGCCCGCCCTTGGTGCCCTTACCCCCGCCCTTCTGCCCTCCAAAGTAAAAGAATGCACCCCTCTGCCTTTTCAAAAAAATAAAATTTCCAAATTTCATGCCTACCGGCGTTTCCGGTAAAATTGTTACCTGATTGTGTAACACTAATTAACTGACAATGGGATTAAGTTAAATACCTAGTGCTTTGGCAGTTTTATCACCTTTGTTAATGATTGTTTACTGCTAATTAGTGGATTTAAGATGATTGAACAAATACTAGACATTTAATACAGAATGAAATGTCCACATGTTATCCATTTGTAATGTTTATGTACAGCATGTACACCTGAAAAAAATTATTTCAGTAGGCATAACATAAAAAATAAAATCTTAAACAATTTTAAAGGCATACATAGTTTGGACTTAATTGGTAAAGAAATTTTTGTTTCATAACCATGAGTATGAAATTTAAAGAGGAATCAAAGAAATTTGTACTTGGTACATAACAAGATTCACTTCCTGTTTTTAATACTTCTTGTATTTTATAATCCTCCTGACATAGGAGCACTCAACAAATTTATTTTTAACAATGATGGAGAAAAAAGTAACTGTTTATACCTTCTGCAATATATTGTTGCATCAATATAAAATATGATCATCTCCTGTCTCACCTGTTATATTTATAAAATTCCTTACTGAGGAGCACTTTGGTGTGCACTTAAAAATACTTTTTTGTAGCAATTCAAATGATAATAAATAACTCTCAATAAGATATATACTATATGTTTGAACAAGTAATTTAAATGTAGATAATTTAATTACATTCAACATTCAATTTTGCATGTATAACTCCATCTTTCAAAACTACTTGTTTATTTTGGTATAAGTTATAAAACATTGAAATTTCTGATGATTATTTTCCATACCAAATGTACGAGTTTGTTTAGATTAACATCAAAATGATATGCTTTGCTTCATGGTATGATAATTTGATGAAAACAAATTCTTACTGGAACCAACATCAAGAACACATTAATTTCTGAATATGGTTTAAATACAACTAATGTTCTCAGTCCAGCTGAGCCTAGCAATATTCAAGGTAATTTATACACTGTCCAACATTGCCCTTAAAATCTGGGTTATAACGCTAAAGTGCCCTTTCAGACAACTAGCACCCTTCTGCCCTGAGATTCAAGCTGGAACACTGAATTTGGGTAGCGTCACTTTTACAGTTCTTGAGTTATGTCCCTTTATAACGTTATATGCAAGCGGGGGCATCATCTGTGTCCCATGGACACATTCCCCATTTATTTGCCTATTATTTTGAAAACTAATAATAGGTAAAGAGAAACTTTAGCAGGGTCACCACACTTCAGAAATTTATGGAGAATTGAAGACCTAACAGGGAGAATTGAGGGAATGCATTTATGAATTTGATTTCCCAGCATGTATACAAATTTGGGTAGCGTCACTTTTACAGTTCTTGAGTTATGTCCCTTTATAACGTTATATGCAAGTGGGGGCATCATCTGTGTCCCATGGACACATTACCCATTTATTTGCCTATTATTTTGAAAACTAATAATAGATAAAGAGAAACTTTAGCAGGGTCATCACACTTCAGAAATTTAGGGAGAATTGAAGACCTAACAGGGAGAATTGAGGGAATGCATTTATGAATTTGATTTCCCAGCATGTATACAAATTTGGGTAGCGTCACTTTTACAGTTCTTGAGTTATGTCCCTTTATAACGTTATATGCAAGTGGGGGCATCATCTGTGTCCCATGGACACATTACCCATTTATTTGCCTATTATTTTGAAAACTAATAATAGATAAAGAGAAACTTTAGCAGGGTCATCACACTTCAGAAATTTAGGGAGAATTGAAGACCTAACAGGGAGAATTGAGGGAATGCATTTATGAATTTTATTTCCCAGCATGTATACAAATTTGGGTAGCGTCACTTTTACAGTTCTTGAGTTATGTCCCTTTATAACGTTATATGCAAGTGGGGGCATCATCTGTGTCCCATGGACACATTACCCATTTATTTGCCTATTATTTTGAAAACTAATAATAGATAAAGAGAAACTTTAGCAGGGTCATCACACTTCAGAAATTTAGGGAGAATTGAAGACCTAACAGGGAGAATTGAGGGAATGCATTTATGAATTTGATTTCCCAGCATGTATACAAATTTGGGTAGCGTCACTTTTACAGTTCTTGAGTTATGTCCCTTTATAACGTTATATGCAAGTGGGGGCATCATCTGTGTCCCATGGACACATTACCCATTTATTTGCCTATTATTTTGAAAACTAATAATAGATAAAGAGAAACTTTAGCAGGGTCATCACACTTCAGAAATTTAGGGAGAATTGAAGACCTAACAGGGAGAATTGAGGGAATGCATTTATGAATTTGATTTCCCAGCATGTATACAAATTTGGGTAGCGTCACTTTTACAGTTCTTGAGTTATGTCCCTTTATAACGTTATATGCAAGTGGGGGCATCATCTGTGTCCCATGGACACATTACCCATTTATTTGCCTATTATTTTGAAAACTAATAATAGATAAAGAGAAACTTTAGCAGGGTCATCACACTTCAGAAATTTAGGGAGAATTGAAGACCTAACAGGGAGAATTGAGGGAATGCATTTATGAATTTGATTTCCCAGCATGTATACAAATTTGGGTAGCGTCACTTTTACAGTTCTTGAGTTATGTCCCTTTATAACGTTATATGCAAGCGGGGGCATCATCTGTGTCCCATGGACACATTACCCATTTATTTGCCTATTATTTTGAAAACTAATAATAGATAAAGAGAAACTTTAGCAGGGTCATCACACTTCAGAAATTTAGGGAGAATTGAAGATCTAACCGGGAGAATTGAGGGAATGCATTTATGAATTTTATTTCCCAGCGTTTATACCTTCTTCTTATATTGAGAAGCCTTTTGCATGACAACTGTTTTAAAAGTGTTATTTCCTTGTCTTAAGGTCTGAATTAATTTACGAAGGAATTTTTCAAAATGTTTTTATTTTTTATTTTGAGTGAAACAAAAGGGATGGCAAAATTTTTAATATAATCCTAGTTACAGGTGTCAGACCACCAATTCAAAATCCTCATCTATTCAACCAAATTTTACAATTTTCACAGCTTTCTAAATATTTTATCTTAAGGATGTACTTAGGTGAGGTTTAGGAATTTTTGTCAGATGTTAGGACTTCTTTGTTATTTTCCTACAATACAGGGTATAATATTTTGCCCCATAACACCCATTTTTCTTTTCATATAAGACTTCAATATCTCATAAAAAGGTCATTACCAAAATTTAAGCAGATTCTAGATTTCTTTTCGATTTGAGACCCAAATAATACCAATGCTATATAAGGTAAAAGTCTGAGTCAGCCTTTTCCCGCCATTTTTTAAAAATCAAATTTTAAAAAGGAGCTCCATAACCTATCAGTATTTTTAGCTTATTTTGTTCCTTAACTAATGTTCTTCTAACTTATCATGCTTATAGTATCAATTTAGCAAAAATGTTTAGAATTCTAGAATTTTTTAATTTCACCTTAGTACATCCTTAAGTTTAACTTCATAGAAACCAGGTATATATCCTGAATTGTACATGTATCACCTTTCTACATGCCAATTTTCAACTTATGTTTAAAGTCTTCTAGCAAAATACTAACTTGTGGAAGACAAGTACTGCTAAAAATAAACCCTTGGTTTTCTGGAAATCTTAAATAAGTATACTATAGAGTGCATTAATCCTCAGTTGTTAATGCAAACTCATGGACAGGTAAATAAGGCTCTAATTTAGTCTTAATGGTCTAAATATATTTCTCTTTCAACAAAACTTTCATTTCTACAAGTTTGTTGGTTAGTTTTTCAGTATACAAAAGCACTTTTTTTTGTCAGGGAAGGGCTACTTTTACATACGTTCTAAATTGGAGTGGGTGAATTGGTGGTCTGACCCCTACAGATGAAGGTAGGGTTCTTAACTAACAACTTGCTGAGAATTACTGTAAATTCATAAATTATTGCAAGGTTTTAATGAATGCGAATAATGTGACTGAGTTAGTATCGCAATAATATGAACTCGTATTCTGATATCTGACGCATATTTGTGCATGCAGATTTTTTTTGGAATCAATTCTTCAAAAATCGCAATAATAAATGCACGCAATAATTTCTGAATTAACAGTAACCAAAAATATATTATCGTTGACGTCACTGGTTTGAAAAATCATGAACATAAAGCCAACATATTTTATATTACATGGGTTGTTAAAATATTCTGTTTTCTAAATTTATCAGAGTTAAATTTGCAAATGCATTAATTTATTTGATAAAAACAAAATGTTTTTTTTTTTTTGCAGATAAACAAAAGATGGATACTAATTCAAAACCATGGCTTAAGGACATAAGAAAGTCAGGGAATAAAACTCTATTTGGGAAAACGGGAATTCAGATCAGATTGCCAAGTTCTAGAAATAATAATGGCCAATCTAACACGAAGAAAAGGACAAATCTTATTGAAAGTTCAGATGATACAGATGACACTGTAACTTATGATGAAGAAAAAAACTTGGCGAAGAAAGATGAATCTAAAAAGAGTGCTGGTATTCGAAGAAATTCCTCGTCTGCGTCGACGGAATGTGAAGCGATTGTAACTACAGCTCCTACGAAAAAAAATAAACAAATTAGGAAGAAGAAAACTCGAATAAAATCGAGTGATGATGAAAGTTCTTCAGAGAGTGAAGATGTGGAGGAGACGAAGAACAAAGTTAACAAAAAGAAAACATTATCGGTCAAGGCCTCTTCAAAGATCATTCATATATCTTCAGAGACAACAGAAACTGACGATGCTGTACATCTTGTGCGCGGGGACAAGGGGAAAAGAAAAAGGCAATTGTCAGGGCCATCTGATACACATTCAAAAATGTCTTCCAGTAAAAAATTAAAAAGTATACAAGAAGAATCGACAGAGGATTCATCTGAAACTAAATGGGTTACTTTAAAAAACAATTCCAAGTCGAACAATCTGACGCATAAACGTAAATCTGGTGATATTGACCATAGCTCTTCGTCTGAATCGGAAATCATGAAGAAAAGAAAATCTCAGAAGAAATCAGGTAGCAAAAAGAAAAGCAATGCTATGACCCCTGAGTTAACCCTGAAATTTTCTTCTTCTGAGGAAGAATTACCTCCCCTTGTTAGGCCGAGGAAGAGGCATAGTAGTGACAGCTCTACTAGATCAACACAGAGCAATGCCTCCACAGTGGCATACAGCCACTCTCAAGTGAAAGGGGAACAGATGGAAAGTTCTTTTCCAATTCATGATCCTGAATATCAAAACATTTCTTCTGGCATTGAAAGTGAAGATTCAGGTGCTGATTCTGACACGCCACTTAAATTGATCATGATAAAGCGAAACTCTTCTACAGAAACGAAACAGAGCAATAACTCAGATGAAAACGAATCTGAGTTACTGTTTTCCCAAATCCCTATTAAAGAGCAGGGTAGGAAAGATACAGAGGAAATGTCTAGAAAGGAAAGAGCATTTTCTTCCTACACTCAGGAGGAAGATGAAATATTTGTTATCGATTCAGATGAGGATTTTTACTCCAGCATGTCGCAGCAAAATTTGACAATTGATTACAATGACAAACCAGATGCAGAAAATGATGAAGATGAACGTGTTGGATTTTTCCTCGATGGGGAAGACGATGTTGATACTATACATGTAAAAATTGAAAGTCCCGAGCTACCCCTAGATTTTGACTGGTTGAAAGAGAAAGTTGAAGCACGAGAAGGGTCGAAAGACCAGTACGACATAAATACTCAAGTTATTACCTCTGTCAAGGTGGAAAATGTAGAAAAAGACAACTATGATGCTGATACTCAAATTATTAGTGACGATTCAGATGAAGATTTCTTTGAGGCTGCAACTCAGATTCCAAATGAAAACACAACTGGCATAGAGGTTCAAGATGAAGATGATACAGGTTCTGAAACTGAGGACTATTATCATGCACAAACTCAACTTCCTGTTGACAATATCAAAAATGGGTCTTCCAAGGAAGAAAAAGTTCGTTTAGCAGACACTGAAAAAGCAGTGGAAGACTTTTACAATGCGTCAACACAACATCCTGTTGACAATTTCAAAAAAAGGTCTTCCAGAGAAGAAAAAGTTCGTTCTGTAGACATGGTAGATACTAAAAAAGCAGTGGAAGACTTTTACAATGTAGACACTCAAGTAGCAGTTATTGATTGTGATGAATTTGACTCCGATGACAACGATCTGTTTCAGGCAGAAACACAAATTTCAGGTATTAAAGAAGAAGGAAGCACAAGTTATGACAGAACTAGCAAGAAAGTTAAAGAGGAGATGGATAAAGATTCTAACAGTCTAGACTATTACAATGCTCAAACTCAAGTTTTTGATGAAACTGAGAAAAAATTGCCAATAAGAAGAAAAAGTTTTGATTTGGATAATTTTGATGAGCAATTGGAAGAAGGCAAGAAATCGCAAATCAACAGAAAACGAGGTTTTAAGGAGTCGAAACCAGAAAGAGTTATTAAAAGAGAGAGTAAGGATCTATATGATGCCAACACACAAATTGATAGGACCAATAAACATTCTGTTGTACAGCGCTTGAGTGATGAAGGCTGTGTTGTCGAACACATAAAAGAGACCAAGGTCATTGTCAAAAAACAATTCTCCACACCATTAGAAGCACAGAAATATCTTAAAGAGTATAATTCCTCAGAAGATTTGTATGGTGATGATACTCAAGAGTATGATTGGCCAAAAGGAAACAAACCTACTATTAAAAAGAAGCCAGTATATAGTGACATCAATCAGGATGATACAAAGGTCGTTGCTGATGTTTATGACATAAATACTCAAATTGATCGTACCAAAAATGAGGCTATACAAGAATTTGATCCATATGCGGCAGCAACACAGGTAGTTAAACCTGAAGTGATTGATATTTCTGATGATGAAAATGATAACGTTCTATACAACTGCGCTACTCAGGTTGAATCTAAATTAGAGGCGAAAGAGAGAGCAGTCAGTGAAGTTAAAGACAAAAAACTGAAAAATAGCATATTATCAAGTGGTATACAACAAATAACAAGCAAAGTCAGTGTGGGTGTGCCGAAAAATGTTATGGATGCTATGTCACAAATGGAATTCAAATCGGAGAATCACTGCAATATTTACGACATGGCAACACAGGTTCAAAACCATGATGAAAATGAAACTGAGAGTGATCAGGAAATATATGCTGCTGCTACTCAATTTGAAATTTCATGCGATGAAACCAGTAAGACAAAAGATAATTATAATGCACAAACTCTGGGCGATGATGTAGATGAAGATAGCCAGAACTGCTACAATGAAATGACGCAAGTTGAGACTCCCCAAAAACAATCCAAAAAGGAAGCAAGAAATGTTTTTAACACAATGACACAAGTTGATAACACTGTTGATGTTTGTGAAGCTTTTGACCCATATACTGCACAGACTCAAGGGGACAATGTTCAAATGTTAAGTTCAGAAGACGAAATCTATGAACAGGCTACGCAAGTTGATTTAACTGTTCCCGTTAGCAATGAAGAAGATTCTTGGAAAAGTGATGATGATGAAAGCAAACAAGAAGATAACAATGGTGAATATGTTGCAATGCTGGATGATGAAGCTGATGAAAATGTAAATGAAAAGCCAGAGGATAGATCTGTGAGTCCAGTTGAGATTAATGATGGTTACATTGCTATGTTAGATGAAGTAGATGAAGCTCCACAGCCAGTTACTATTACAGATAGTACCTTAGTTTCAAAATCGAAAGAGAACAAAACTCCTAAGAAAGACAAGACATATGTAAAGCACACAATGTTGAAAAAAGTTTCAAGTGAAGAAAAGAAAACTATGGAATGTTCACCAAAAAAGCCAAAGACGTCCAAGGAAAAAAGAGAGAGTTTCCAATTAGAAAAAGAAAGATTTTATTCTCAAAAACCGAGTAAGAAAGCAGACTCTAAATCGCCAGAAATGAATCATGATATTGATATTGTTGAGGACCATACTAGTCAGTGGTTATCTAAGCAACAGAAAAGTAAAGAAATGGACAAGGTAAAAAAACATAGAGAAACTAAACCATATTCTGCTGCAGATAATAGCTTGGATGGAAATATCAGGGCTGCTAAAAATAAATTGGCTGAGAGAGGAATGAAGCAAGCGGAACATCCTCAACCTGTCAAAAGAAAACATTTATTTGTTGAAGGTAAATTATATATATATATTTTGCATGCACTGTGCAAACAGGCAAAGGGGAATTTTCCCAGTAGTAGAATATTCTGAAATTTTGTGATGTCATAAATGTAATTCTTCTTTATTTATCTCTCTATTTATTTTTGGATAACCTCCAGATTAGGTATATAACACCTGTATTTGAAAGATCCATGATTCCATCTTATAATAACATTGTCTTTTTAGATCACCAAATCCACACAAAATTTAACAAACATTGTCATAGAATGAAAGACAGTCACTTAAAAAAAACAGGAACAATACAAACATTCAGACCTTTAAAAAACCGAATAATACAAACATTCAGACCTTAAAAAAACAGGAATGATACAAACATTCAGACCTTAAAAAAACAGGAATGATACAAACATTCAGACCTTAAAAAAACAGGAACAATACAAACATTCAGACCTTAAAAAAACAGGAACAATACAAACATTCAGACCTTAAAAAAACAGGAATGATACAAACATTCAGACCTTAAAAAAACAGGAACAATACAAACATTCAGACCTTAAAAAAACAGGAACAATACAAACATTCAGACCTTAAAAAAACAGGAACAGTACAAACATTCAGACCTTAAAAAAACAGGAACAATACAAACATTCAGACAAGCACAGGGCCATTCAAGATAAGTGTTATAAAAATAAGGAGATGTGGTATGATTGCCAATAAGACAACTATCCACCAAAAATCAAATGAATTGGATGTAAGCAATTACAGGTGACTGTACGGCCTTCAACAATGAGAAAAACCCATACCGTATGGTTGGCTATAAAAGGCCCTGACGTGAAAAATATGAAATAATTCAAAGAATAGAGAAAACTAACGGCCTAATTTATAACAAAAACAATGTAGGAAAAACAAATATGACAGACATGAACCAAAGACAACCACTAAACTACAGGCTCCTGACTTGGGAAAGGCACATAAAGAATGTGGCGGGGTTAAAATTTTTGTGAGCGCTCAACCCTCCCCTAACCAGCTGGGACTGTGGTGTAACAGTACAACATAAGAACAAACTATAACTCTACACCTATGGCAAGTTAGATTACTTGACAGGAAATACTGCATGAAAGGGACAAGTAAGTAGGGATGTCTGCATAAAAATTTCAATTAAAACAAATTGACTGAAAGAGAAAAAATAAAGTAGGTAGTACACATAACAGAAGTTATCCAGAATAGATACACTATAACTTTCAAGATAAAAAAGTATACACTATTATGCCTGTGCTTGCATATTCAAGTATAATAAAGTTATATATATCATGTATATAGTAAGATCAATTCTACATGTCCTTGTTTCTACAACAAAAAGCCAATCTGATCACACTTGCGACAATAAATGACCCTGGCACAACCAATGTCAAAAATAAAAGTCCTCACAACCCTGACTTTTGTATGTTTTATTTAAAAACACCTGAATGTTCTATGTAAAGTACATGTCATGATGAAATTTTAAACAATAATTTAAATTATCTAGTAAGTTCTTTTGAGGAGTTTTAAAAACTCATCAATGATATCAGGCTTAAGGATGTTCGCTCCTCTGTTTCAAAATGACAAGCTTTTTGAAAGACTGTTCTAAATTGATTGAATATGAATAAAGGAGCTGAAAAATTAGAAAAAAAATTAAGGGTCTGTGTGCTTGTTTTCGAGATATAAGCCTTAGAAAATTTGGCGGGAAATGATTCTCTCTAGATTTTTCATATTTAACATTGGCACCTTTTTTCTTTCAAAAACTATGAAAAAAATAACAAGGATTTTATAAGATTTTCAAATATGGCTTTTTAAACTATACGTAATAGAATTATGAAAAGAAAAGTAGGGTTAGCAGGCAAACATTTTTAAAAGCACTACATGAATAAAACCAGAGGATTCCGAATATATCTGGCAAAAACTCAAAATCAAGTGGAGCAAACATCCTTAAGTTATTGTTTGGTACGTCAGCCACACATTTCATCTACACCAGTGGCTAATAAATCAAAACAGAAGACCAACAAATAGGAAGTTCAAGAGTTAAAAACTAAAAATTCCCAAAAAATTGTTCCTAAATTACGGCTGAGGCAATCTATGCCTGGGGTAGAAAAAAAACGTTATTTCTATTATAGACATGTTATAAAAAGTGAATTTACAGAAAAATGAATATATCAAACAATGTAGGTAGTGTTTCTAAATGAATTAATCATATGTTGTCTTTCCTACCGAAGGTCAGTGGTTTTCCAGGTACTCTAGCTTCCTCCACCAATTAAAATTGACTAACTCAATATAGCAAACTAGTGCTGAAAGAGGCGTTAAACACCAATCAATCTATATATGTGTGGTCAACAATTTGATTATTTCAAAGAAAATAAATATTTGTCTTACTCTTACCATTTTGAATATGACACTGATACTGATCTCTTCTTTGGTATTGTAGGTGCAAGTGATGTTTCCGACGTAACGCTCCCCGATGAAAAAGAGATCCTAGCTAAACAGTTACCATTATTGGAATTTCCTCGGGCAAAGGGAACACAGAGCAGTCAGGAAAATCAACAAACAACCAAAGAAAAGCAGAAAAAAGATACTGTTACTTCAGAGAAGACGGATAAAAGTAACAGGGGAGATAATCGTAGTCATTCTCAGTCGGATCGACATGATAGGTCTTCATCTAAACACAAACATCATCATAGTTCATCACAAAGTTCTGGTCACAGAAAAGAAAGACACTCTAAGGATAAAGATCAAAGAGATAAGAGGTCAGGTGACAAGGATCAGAAGTCACATGACAAGCGAGAGGAGTCACATGACAAGAAAAAAGATCACAGATCTTCTAGCAAGTCTTCAACTAGGAAGGATGAGAAGTCATCTGAAAAATCCATATCATCTGAAAAGTCTAGGGAGAAAGAATCTTCTAGGAGATCATCAGGCAAAAGTAGTCATCGTACATCTTCTCATAAGGAAAAAAATGAATCATCGAAGAAAAATGAGACAAAGAAAGATGACAAAGATAAGACCATCATGAAAAGGATTCCAAAGTTGTCTGAAACTGCCAAGAAAGAGAAAGAAAATGAAACAGTAACAAAATCACCATTATTAGCAACAAACCTAGATTCACAAATTTCTGGGGATTTTATGTCGAAAATTGGATTGAGCAGTATGAAGATCACATCACGAGTCAGAACACGGAGCCGTGAGGAATCGGAACAAAGAACAGAAACTCTGATGGAGGCATCAACTTCAGAGGTCAGCCTGAAAAATAATTCTCCAGAGAAGTGTCAGAGATTAACAATATCAATGTACAGAGAAAGAGATCTTGAATTTACATCGACAGGCAATCTGGAAACAACATCTCCGGCTGAAACTGGTGAAAAAACACCCAAATCAATTCTGCGAATAGTAGGATCAGAGAGCAAAGGTCTAAAAGTTCAGTTTAGGACACAACCATATTCTCAGTCTGCAGAGAATACACAAAGAGGAGTTGATTGGGACAATAGGAAGGCCAGGTTTAACACACATTTTCCTAATGGACTACCGAAACTACCTGGGGAAAATGAAAATGAACCAGTTACACAGCCTCCAGTCACTAGCTCTGTAAACCTGATGAAAAAACTACCTCTAAATTTACAGGTTTGTTATAGTATACAGTACACACAAGGAGATTCTGTCAAAATTCACTTTTGCTGGTGTCAAGTGATTCACTGTGAATTCTGGTGATTATACACTGATTTAAGACCCTGTGATTTACTGTGGATTCATTTAGGGCTATTCCATTAAAACGTATGTGGGAGGGTAGGAAGGGAAGTTTAATTATTGAATGTGGGTCATGGGTCTTTTTTCAGTATGCGTCTATTACCATTATGCAAAAAAATGGTCCTTGGTTGTAGGGATATTTTGAAAGTCCCTTCCTACCCTCCCACATACATTTTAATGGAATAGCCCTTATTTTTGGAGTTACCAATTTTTCATGGATTGAATTTGAGGAAATATTGCATTTCAGATATTTGAATTTGTGGTTTTGCCAAAATTTGCATACAATTCAAGCTTATAGAATATTGTTGAACATTTAAATTCCTGGTTCACCTTTACCCACGGAATCAAATAAAATTGGTATCCCAACAATAAAAATTCATCCATAGTACTTTCTGTCAACTGTCTGTTGAATAGGCAGAGAGGTATTTCAAAGTGAATCCCCATCAATCACCAGCATTCACGGTGAAAAATCATCCAGAGTGATTTTTGACCTACCCAAAATACAATTTACAAAACAACAAATTTGACAGACATTTATTTTTCAAAGTAAGCAGATTTTATATGCTTTCACATTGATGTCTATCTACATAAGAATAAGGAGATGTGGTATGATTGCCAAAAGGACAACTATGTACCAGAGTTTAAATTACGAAGATCTAAGCAATTATAAGTCATCGTACATAGTTCAACAATGAGGAAAAAATCCATACCTTATAGAATGTATAGTCATCAGCTATAAAAGGCCATACAACATTAAAAATTGGAAAAATTTAAACAAGAAAGCTTATGGCCTAATTTATAACAATACAATATACAAACAACAAATATAACTGACATCAAACAATGACAACCACTGAATAAAAGGCTGCTGACTTGGGACAAGCACATCAATTATGTGTATATATGTATGTTTACAATGTATTTGTTAACTGAATATTTAAATGCATGAACATTATTGTTTTAGGCTGCAAAGGCAAAACCTCTAACAACACAGAATCAGAATTCAACAATTACTTATCAACCACCTCCTGGTGCTTTTACAAGTACCAGTCAACAGATACCAGTAGCAACTGTTCCCACTCCATCTTCTTACCAGCAACATAGAAACAGAGCTGCTCCCTGTAATAACTCGAGACCATCTTCTGCCCAGCAGCAGGTTGATAGGGTACCAGTTCCTATTTTCAAACAAGGCAGCAGTCCTATTGCTGATCTGAGTATTTTAGACTTCAATTACTTCTTTGTGAAGATATTGAAGTGGAATGCCAACTGGTTTGATGAATATGGTGAGCATTTAAATGAAAAGTTAAGATATATATACTTATGATAAACTATCAGTACCATTTTATGTTATGTATCGGACATTGTCATATAAAAAGAAGATGTAAATATAGAAAGCCTAGCTTGAAATTTGCTAAGATTATGTATATATTTAGCCTTTTCCACAAAAAACAATGACTTAAGTTCAAGTTACTTTTAATGTTGAAATTTTGGGAAGGGGGTTAATTTTGCTAAGGGCTATTCCAGAGAAAGGTGTCCATGGGGCAGATTGCCCATGGAAATTGAGGGGTACCCCCAACACATTAGAATTAAGGCGCAATATTTGTTTTACATAGAAAATTTTTAACTTTTACCCCCCAATTACATAATAATTAATCAATGGCGTTCAGCTCCTAGTATATGTAACACTTTTTTCTGGAATAGCCCTAATTTTGCAATAACACAAAATGCACAAAATAAACCCCTATGTTAAAATATTTCAAATAAAGTCCTTTATATTTAGATTTTGGAAAATATCCACATTTAAACTGGTATATATTTATAAACATTACAAATTAGATATGATGAATTGTTTGTTTTTGTGGAACTGGATACCATTTACTACTGGAAAAAGAATCATACTGATTTTAAAAAAAATAGTTTGCTATGGGATGTATTATAAAAATCAGATGTAATATGATTTCCAATGAATCAACCCTCCACAAGAGACCAAAAGATGTAGAAGTAAACAACTATAGGTCAATGTACAGTCTTCAACAATGAGCAAAACCCATACCGCATTTTAAGCTTTGTATGTAAGATGGCTATATGACCATATATATATATATGTTGTCACAAGACTTTATTTTTATAACAAAAAATATGTTGTCACAAAACTTTATTTTTGTAGAAAAACATCAGACAGCACCTCCAGATGTTGAAGAAGCTTATCATGTTTCTCATCTTTTAGACTCGTATGACAGTTATGAAGATTATTTCAAAACTCTATTCCCCCATCTCTATCTGGAGACTTGGGAAACAGTAAGTGGTCAAAGGCTAAAATATATAATATCTGTGTTTCTCTTAACATAAGACCCGCATGGGGCAGGTGCACTCTACTCCAATCTTAATTGCCTAGGATTGTCAGTTTTCCTACCAATGGTAGATGGTTCTCTCCTTGCACTATGGCTTCCTCCAATAAAAACTGACCGACACGAAAATAGACAATAGTGTTGAAAGTGGCGTTAAACACCAACCAATCAATCAATCAATCAATCTTAACACACGCATCGGCGAAAAACATGCTTGGAAGGAAGGCAAATATTTGTTTTCAAAAAGATTTCATACTGGTAGCAACAGCAGAAACTGACTTCAACGGTGCTTGTTCACAAATGACAAAAAAATCTTTATAGTAGGCAAAGTTACTAAAAGTTAAGGTTTTTCAGGTCTGCAGAAACACATATTTTTTTTTGAAGTTGATTATTAATGAAGGATATTTAAGGTCAAAGTCAATAAGACACCAACACACAAAACAAAATAACCCCAAAAAACATCTAGAGGTCAACATGCAGTCTTCTACAATAAGAAATTAAAAACTTTACACCATGTTAAGCACTAAATATCATTGAGTGTAGAAGGTAGTGAATAGATTTGATGGAGACTATCAGAGATATGTCATTAAATCACTAAATTCCCCAAAAAGACAAACCACATTGAGATAAATATAAAAATATAAAAAAAGGTAGATATGAAGACAACTCTCCACCAGAGACAAATGACAGAAGTTAACAACAATAGGTGAGCATTACCCATGCCGCATAGTAAGCTATAAATGGCCCAGAAATGACAAATGTAGAACAATTCAAACGAGAAAACTAACTGCCTGATTTATTTGTACAAAACAATAAAGAAAAAACAAATATGATATACAGCAACAGACCACAACACATGAATTATAGGCTCCTGATTTGGGACAGGCCCATACAGAATATAGTGGGGTTAAACATGTTTGCTGGTGCCAAACCCTCCCCATTACCAGGGACCATGGTGTAGCAGTACAGCATAAGAACAAACTATAAAAAATATGTTTTGACAGAACTAAAAAATTCTTATTGGTGACCAGTCAGGGGACTTTTGAAATAAGTGATTTTTAAATCACTTATTTAAGTAGCAAATTTGAAGTTTTGTCACAATTTGTGATTATGTAGTTTAACCAAAATTTTAAACACATACCGGTAGGGTTAGATAATATCTTTTCATTAGTAAAATTGAAAAAAAATGAACTTTTTGCTTCTTTTAAGCAGCAAGGTTTATGCCTTTGATGCAATCATTTAGCTGCAAATTCTATTTAAGTTGAAAAAATGATATAAAAATGGCTTTACATAATGAACTGATACTTTCTTAACAGATTTTTCCCAGCAGTGGGAGTATTTTTCCTGTAAAATTCAAGGTTTCATCTTATAGATTATGTAATAAAATTCTACTGTTCGCGATCAAAATTTCACTGTTCGGGGGTGTTGAAATTAGTGGGGGTTATTAAAATAATGATACTTAAAGAAGTGATTTTTTGGAAGGAAATTGAGGTATGATACTTAAACAAGTGATTTTTATGTCATTATCCTAGATTTAGTACAAGGTCATCACCTGACATGACCCGGTCATCCTATCAACACAGATGTTGGTTCTGATAATTTTAGCAACATAATTAGTCCCTGGATCATTAATATTCTATATTTAAAGCTCAGTGTCTTCCCTAGAAAATTTTTCATGCATGGTGGGTCCATGGTGAATTTGCAACGCGGCGCGCGATGCTTCTTTTTCAGAATTAGTTACACTACATAATATTTATGTTTAAAGCCATATACCAATCTAATTGTTTTATTATAGGTACAGCAATTCATACAATTCATGGAACTTTAAAGTATTTATCACAGATGAGAGTAATTAACTAAAGACCTTATAAGCAATAATAAAAAAAATCCAGTCTGCAATAGTTATTTACTATTTAATGTCATGTACACATTATTTTGTTGATATCTTCCTCTGTTTCAACTTTCCAAAGGTCACCACACATTTTTCAAAATCAAAATCTTCCTTCTTTGGTCCTTCAATTGATACATGTATATGCATTAAGCAATTCAGCACTTTTTGACATAGTCTGTTTCTCAACTTCAGGGCTTTGCTCATGGTGATGATTTTATCTGTCTGACTACAATTTGATGAAGGAGTAGACTTTTCTTAGTCTTCTCTAACCAACTTGTCAAAAAAGTTGGGCCAGTAAGGCGACCTTTCTTTGATGGTTGCTTGGACATGGTTGTTTAAATGATTGATGATTGTTCTTCGAATTTTGCTGATAGAATGATTTCAGCATCAACAGCAAGTTGTTAAATAAAACTTTGAATGTCATCATTCTTCACAGAGATTTTACAGGAAACAATATTATAAAAAAAAAAATATTTGCGTTAATTACAGAAGTCGTCAATGAAGAATATCTGACCTACGGACATACAGATGACATATTTGGCAATAACCTGTTTGGAAGCTAAGCTAACATTTTATTTCATGACAATTAACTATTTTTTTTACATACATCCCTGTCCGATTTAGTTATAACGCTTCATAATTGTAAAAATCCAATCTCGCCGAAGTGAAAGAAATTAAGCCCCACTTGTGTAAAAAACGGCAAATGAATCCGCTACACCTAAGCTTGTGACCCATTGAAATACAAATAGAACAACACAAGTTTATTAAAAACAATATTTCCGTAACTAGCTACGTTTTTTTGAAAGTTTTTCTATGAAATCTTTTAAATATTTCATAAGATACGTCTTTTTCTCGGCCCGGTGGCGGTGATGTGTATTCTTTGATATAATCAATCAACCGCGACTAATCTAAAAATAACTGATTGTTGTGACCAATCAAAAAATAATTCATCGATGTAAATATAGCCGATGAAATAACTACGAAACTTCATTAAAAACAATGTTTTGTTCATTCTCGGTGAAATTACATTGGTTTTATTTTATGATACCAGAAACTATACCAAATTTTAAATTTCTACTTTTTAAAGATAAACAGTAAAATAACGATGTCAAACACCCGTTTTAAAGGTGAAATTTATACTGGAAAAGGTTAAACTTTTATTTAGCACAGAAAGATGTGCATTGGAGATTAATCTGACTATTTATTTATCAGCTAACTGGCCACTTCTATTATGTAACCGAAGTCTCGATATCAAGAAGGTTGTAAAATCCCGGCACGCGCGACGTGATGCATCCAATTATCAGTCGGATGAGTTTAAAACACCTGTGGAGTGTTGTCACTTGTCACTTCACTTTCAAAATATCGATAATAAATATTTTACACAGTTATAATTTTCACACATAGCGGGATGCATTGCGGCAATGATGAAAGCATGGCGGTCGAAATTTATGCGTAGCGGTACCGCAATGCTTGAATAGCCTAGGGAAAACACTGAAGCTACAATAAAATTAAATCACTTAGTCTAGTGATTAATTTGTACTACTTAAATAGGTGATCATTAAAGAAAGACAACTCTTGCTTCCAACCTTTATGGACATAATGTTACTTGAATCAGTGATTTAGAAAATCACTCATTTAAGTAAGTCCCCTGACTGGTGACTTGCTTTGGTCTAGTTACAGTTGAAGTTGTGTTTAGCAAAGCTCAAAGATACTGTGTGAGCTATCATGTTTAAATTCAATTTTGCGCTTCCATCTTTTTAACTTGAATGATTGCCCATTGTAATTTAAACATCTATCCATCCAAGTGTTGAATTGCTTATATGATATAACAGAAATATAAGTATTTTTTTTTATATTTCAGTGTGTGAGGTCTTGGCAAGAGTCAAAGGGACGAAGAAGATCAGTTGACATTGTGTTTACTCGAGTTCATAAACCATGTGACAAGATGTTCACTTACACTTTTACTGGTATATATATATACTATCAAATTTAACAAATAAATTTCGGATTACGAGAAAAAGTTATAATATGAAAATAAGAAGATTTGATATGATTGCCAATGAGACAACTTTTCACCAGAGACTAAATGACATAGAAGTTTACAACTATAGGTTACTGTACAGCCTTCAACAATGAGCAAAACCCATACTGCATATCATCAGCTATAAACTATAAATTGGTTCATTTCAAATGAGCAACTGTTTCCAGTTTTAGTTTTTTTGCAAAGGGAAACAACTTCTAGGTAAGAAAACTGTATCCCTGTTTGTACAGAGCAAGTGGAATAGTATGGTGTATTGTGCAAGATCTGTCAATAATTTGGATTTTGTTAGTGCATTATATATTTGTAAAAATGGGATGCAAACTACTTTGATGTAGAATGAAAGTTCTTAAGGTGGTACATAACACTACAGGGAGATAACTCTGTAAAAATCAGCTGAACCTTTTAATCACATTCTATTTTTAAGGAAATATTAAGCTTCTCAATGATCAAGATTAGTGTTTGTCAAACTACTATATGCAATGAAATTTTTCCGATAAAGTGTGTGGTTCAAGTTTTTATGCCCCTGCCGTAGCGGAGGGGGCATTAAGTTTTACCCTTGTCTGTCTGTACGTACGTACGTACCAAAATTGGTTTCTGTTCTCTAACTTAAAGTTTGCCTCAACCAAATGTTATGAAACTTATACATTATGCTTATTACCACAAAACACAGATCAAGTTTGAATTTTGGTGGCGTCACTTTTACCGTTCTAGAGTTATGCCCCTTTACAAATGAAAAAATTGCTGAATTTTTCGTTTCTGTTCTCTAACTTTAGTTTGACTCAACCAAATGTTATGAAACTTATACACAATGCTTATTACCACAAAACACAGATCAAGTACAAATTTGGGTATCTTCACTTTTACAGTTCTTGAGTTGTGTCTCTTTATAACGTTATATGCAAGCGGGGACATCATCTGTGTCCCATGGACACATTCCCCATTTATTTGAAATGTTTATATTTTTGTCAAAAGGTCAAAGTAAATATTTTGTCAAATTTTTATGAAAATTAAACGAGCCAAATTAATTTTATTCCAGATGTTTGGTACCACCTTAACAGCCTAAGAACTTAAAAACATGTTCTTTCAATAAGCTTGCATTGACAGGGAACCCACTCTCTTATTATTATACCCTAAGCAACGAGTTGCGGAGGGTATAATGATTTTGACCCGTCCGTCCGTCCGTCCGTCTGTCCGTCTGTTTGTCCGTTCGTCTGTCCGTCCGTCCGTCAGTCCGTCAGTCCGTCAGTCCTATTTTTTGTCATCACAACTCCTCTCAAACCACACAACAGAATTTCACGAAACCTTTTTAGATAATAAGGACATACTATGTAGTTGTGCATATCGACAGGAAATTACGATTCAATTTTTTTTCTAGGAGTTACGCCCCTTTGAACTTATTTACTTTAATGTATTACTGCAACAGTTTGTCATCGCAACTCCTCTCAAACCACACAACAGAATTTCATGAAACCTTTCCAGATAATAAGGACATACTACGTAGATGTGCATATCGACAGGAAATTACGATTCAATTTTTTTCCAGGAGTTACGCCCCTTTTAACTTATTTGCCCAATATACTACTGCAACCTTTTGTCATCGCAACTCCTCTCAAACCACACAATAGAATTTCATGAAACCTTTTCAGATAATAAGGACATACTACGTAGATGTGCATATCGATAGGAAATTACGATTTAATTTTTTTTCCAGAGTTACGCCCCTTTGAACTTATTTGCCCAATATACTACTGCAACCTTTTGTCATCGCAACTCCTCTCAAACCACACAACAGAATTTCATGAAATCTTTTCAGATAATAAGGACATACTACGTAGATGTGCATATCGACAGGAAATTACGATTCAATTTTTGTCGAGCATGCGACTTTTGTCGCAGAAAGCTCGACATAGGGATAGTGATCCGGCGGTGGCGGCGGCGTTAGCAGGCCTCTACAATAACTTTTTTTTCAACTTGTCCAGTAGGACAAGTACATACCAAAATTTACTTGTCCGAATGAAATTGTAACTTGTCCAAAAAAAATCTTAATAATAACCTTTTTTTGCATTTTAAGTTGATTCAAGGAACAAAATGAATTAAAACAATATAACAGTAGTTAGATTTATATCTTTTGATATACTTTTCAAAAATATGAGTCGAGAACAACTGAATCTAGTAATGTCACAGGACTTTAAGGTTCTAGTTTTCATCAATGCCAAAGTCTCATCAGACTCTGCACATGAGGCACCATCTGATAGGCCTGTCAATGTACACTCATTGGATTTGTATCCTGTTTTTTTAAGTTGAAAAAAGTTATTCAAATGCAATCAATAAAAAAAAAGAAGATGAGGTATGATTGCCAATGAGACAACTTTCTGCTAGAGACCAAATGACACAGAAATTTAATAACAATTCATTATAGGTCACCATATTGCAAGTATTTTTTTTTTTTTCTACATATGATCAAATATGATTTTATGAATTTTATGGTAAACAATTTCTTCATTTTTATTTAAAAATATTTTTGTTAAAAAATTACTGGTTTGGTATTTATTATAAAGCAACAGAATCAAGGTAGGAGGTACTGATTTGTCTTGGTCCCGAAATTTCTCCTGCGTTGCCAAACTGTCTATTTATCATGCCTATTAAATATGTCTCCTACGGTGCCAAACTGTCTATTAAACTTGGAGCCAATGAATCGTTTCCAAGCTGGTGACAACTGTCTTGTAAAGTTATCTATCTACAAAGCGCATCGCTGATTCGGATCAGTAAGACTGGTTTCCGATAATAGTATGCCTTCTACCTGTTAAAAAGTACCTGACAAAGAACCAGTTTTAAATTATCAATTGCCAGTAAACATGTCAAACTAATACTTGTTTTTATCTTCTTTTCTTGTTTTTTGTTTATAATTACTTTGTTCATCAAAGTTGGATTAAATTTATTTTATGCAGAATAATTTTACTTGTCCCATCGGACAACCTTGATATAGCTTTTACTTGTCCGACCTTGTTTTCCTCTGGTATCGGACAAGCGTTATTGTCGAGCCCTGGTTAGCTAACTTCTTAAAAGCTTTATATTCTAGAGGGTGGAAGTTCTGGATGCTTCATACTTTGTATATGGATGCCTCATGTTACGAAGTTTCTGTCAGTCACATGTCCAATGTCCTTGACCTCATTTTCATGGTTCAGTGACTACTTGAAAAAAAAGTTAAGATTTTGTGTAGTGTTAAATTCTCTCTTATTATAAGTAATAGGATAACTATATTTGGTATGTGCTTACCTTGCAAGGTCCTCATGCCCGTCAGACAGTTTTCACTTGACCTCGACCTCATTTCATGGATCAGTGAACAAGGTTAAGTTTTGGTGGTCAAGTCCATATCTCAGATACTATAGTGTAATATACTGTAGGTCTAGTATATTCGGTGTATGGAAGGACTGTAAGGTGTACATGTCCAACTGGCAGGTGTCATCTGACCTTAACCTCATTTTCATGGTTCAGTGGTTATAGTTAAGTTTTTGTGTTTTGGTCTGTTTTTCTTATACTGTATGCAATAGGTCTACTATATTTGGTGTATGGAATGATTGTAAGGTGTACATGTCTAGCTGGCAGGTGTCATCTGACCTTGACCTCATTTTCATGGTTCAGTGGTCAAAGTTAAGTTTTTGAGTTTTGGTTTTTTTTCCTAATACTGTATGCAATAGGTCTACTATATTTGGTGTATGGAATGATTGTAAGGTGTACATGTCTAGCTGGCAGGTGTCATCTGACCTTGACCTCATTTTCATGGTTCAGTGGTCAAAGTTAAGTTTTTGAGTTTTGGTCTTTTTTTCAAATACTTTATGCAATATTTCAACTATATTTGGTGTATGGAAATATTTTATGATCTATGTGTCAGTCACGCAGGTTTTATTTGACCTTGACCTCATTTTTAAGGTTCATTGCTCAGTGTTAAGTTTTGTGTTTTGGTCTGTTTTTCTTAAACTATAAGCAATAGGTCAACTATATTTGTTGTATGGAAGAATTGTTAGCTGTACATGCCTGCCTAGCATGGTTCATCTGACCTTGACCTCATTTTCATGGTTCATTGGTCAATGTTTAGTTTACTTGGTTAATGTTAAGTTTATGTGACAGTTGTAATAAAGCTTTATATTTAGGACTGTCAACATAATATCAATGATTAGTAAAGAAGGCGAGACATTTCAGCATGTGCACTCTTGATTTCCCAGGAGTTACGCCCCTTTGAACTTTTTTGTCCAATATACTACTGCAACCTTTTGTCATTGCAACTCCTCTCAAACCACACAACAGAATTTCATGAAACTGTGTAGATAATAAGGACATACTATGTAGATGTGCATATTGACAGGAAATTATGATTCAATTTTTTTTTCTGATACAATTTTTTTTTCTTACACTTATTTTATTTCTCCAATGACAATGTGGGGACGTGGGGTATGTGAGCGCGCTCACTAAGGTTCTTTCATTTCCCATTAATTTGCATGTACCATTTGATTTGTTGAAACATCGTTTCTATATATGCTTCTAATGCATTTTTTTCACATTTTTATTAGGATTTTGCATGAAAAGAATATGTTACATGTAGAAACATTTAAGTACAATAAAAAAAAACTAGTATCATGAAAAAATATTGGTAAAAGATGTTTGCAAACAATAGGTAACAGGTGTCAGTTTGTCTGTTGAAAATAAAACTTTGTTACGTTTCGGCTAAAAAAGGGGCTGTCAGAGAAAATAATTAATCTACGTCAAAGACAAAATATTCGAAGTTTCTGATAACAATTAAACTTTAAATGAAATGACCTTTGTAAAACTATACTAAAATCACTAAGGACCATTTCTTAAATTTGTAAAACTTTTATATTTTAGCTGTGGTCCCAAAGCAGACCTTCAATCTATTAAATGAAGGAGATCTTGTGATAGTAAATACCTGGGGTGTGAATGCATGGGAAGTCAGTGCCAAACATAAAGCCAAGTATTATCCACAGCTCGGATTCATAGAGAGGCTCCAGTACCGTAGGAATCAGGGCGATGTTGTTAAAATCCTACAGACGTTTCCTTCTTTAGGTATGTATGATTTTCTTAGCACTAAAGCTGACGATACGGTTTGGAGTGAACAGTGAACCAACCAATATTCAAGTTTTTTCATTAAATCATTTTTGTCGAGGCCTTCGACTTTAGTCGAAAAAGCGAGACATAGCGATCCTACATTCCGTCGGCGTCGTCGTCGTCGGCGGCATCCACAAATATTCACTCTGTGGTTAAAGTTTTTGAAATTTTAATCACTTTCTTAAACTATCCTGGATTTCTACCAAACTTGGACAGAAGCTTGTTTATGATCATAAGATAATATCCAGAAGTAAATTTTGTAAAAATAAAATTCCATTTTTTCCGTATTTTACTTATAAATGGACTTAGTTTTTCTGCCGGGAAATATTACATTCACTCTGTGGTTAAAGTTTTTAAAATTTTAATAACTTTCTTAAACTAACCTGGGTTTCTACCAAACTTGGACAGAAGCTTGTTTATGATCATAAGAGTATCCAGAAGTAAATTTTGTAAAAAAAAAAAATCCATTTTTTCCTTATTTTACTTTTAAATGGACTTAGATTTTCTGCCAGGAAACAACACATTCACTCTGTGGTTAAAGTTTTTAAAATTTTAATAACTTTCTTATACTATTTTGGATTTGTACCAAACTTGGACAGAAGCTTGTTTATGATCAAAAGCTAGTATCTAGAAGGAAATTTTATAAAAAAAATAAATCCATTTTTTCCGTATTTTACTTTTAAATGGACTTAGATTTTCTGCCAGGAAACAACACTATCACTCTGTGGTTAAAGTTTTTAAAATTTTGATAACTTTCTTATACTATTTTGGATTTGTACCAAACTTGGACAGAAGCTTGTTTATGATCAAAAGCTAGTTATCTAGAAGGAAATTTTGTAAAAAAATAAATCCATTTTTTTTCCGTATTTTACTTTTAAATGGACTTAGATTTTCTGCCAGGAAACAACACATTCACTCTGTGGTTAAAGTTTTTAAAATTTTAATAACTTTCTTATACTATTTTGGATTTGTACCAAACTTGGACAGAAACTTGTTTATAATCAAATGCTAGTATCTAGAAGGAAATTTTGTTTTCTTCCAGCTAACATTACATTCAGTCTGCAGTTAAAGTTTTTAAACATTTATTAGATTCATAAACTATCCTGGATTTTTACCAAACTTGGACAGAAGCTTCTTACAATCAAAAGATAGTATCAATAGGAATATTTTTATTGATTAACTTCCTCATTTTTGTTGAGTCTGCGATTAACAGAAAAAGTAGGTGAGACACTGGGTTCCGCGGAACCCTTACGAATTTTTAGCTAACCTTTTTATACGACCGCCAAAATTTTTTGCATCGTATAATGCTATGGTGTCGGCGTTGTCCGAAGACACATTTGGTTTCTGGACAATAACTTTAGTTTAAGTGAAAGGATCTCTAAGAATTTTTACCAGAAGGTTCAATACCACAAAAGGAAGGTTGGAATTGATTTTGGGGGTTATGGTACCAATAGTTTAGGAAAAAGGGGCCAAAAACAAGCATTTTTGTAGTTTCCAGACAGTAACTTATGGTTAAGTGTAAGGATCTCTCTAAAATTGTACTTCAAGGTTCCATACCACAAAGGGAAGGCTTGTATTAATTTGGGGGTAATTACTCCAAGGGGGAAGGGGTTAAAAAAGTTTGGGGGGATTTTTTTTTTCAATTTTTAGCTCACCTGGCCCAAAGGGCCAAGTGAGCTTTTCTCATCACTTGGTGTCCGTCGTCATTAACTTTTACAAAAATCTTCTCCTCTGAAACTACTTGGCCAAATTTAACCAAACTTGGCCACAATCATCATTGGGGTATCTAGTTTAAAAAATGTGTCCGATGACCCAGCCAACCAACCAAGATGGCCGCCATGGCTAAAAATAGAACATAGGGGTAAAATGTAGATTTTGGCTTATATCTCTGAAACCAAAGCATTTAGAGCAAATCTGATTGGGGTAAAATTGTTTATCAGGTCAAGATCTATCTGCCCTGAAATTTTCAGATGAATCGGACAACGCGTTGTTGGGTTGCTGCCCTTGAATTGGTAATTTAAAGGAAATTTTGCCGTTTTTGGTTATTATCTTGAATATTATTATATATAGAGATAAACTGTAAACAGCAATAATGTTCAGCAAAGTAAGATCTACAAATAAGTCAATTGACCCCTTAAGGAGTTATTGCCCTTTATTGTCAATTTTTAACCATTTTTCGTAAATTTTTGTAATCTTTTACAAAAATCTTCTCCTCTGAAACTACTGAGACAAATTTAACCAAACTTGTCCACAATCATCATTAGGGTATCTAGTTTATAAAATGTGTCCGATGACCCCGCCCGCGAACCAAGATGGCCGACATGGCTAAAAAATAGTACATAGGGTAAAATGCAGTTTTTGGCTCATATCTCTGAAACCAAAGCATTTAGTGCAAATCTGACGAGGATAAAATTGTTCATCAGGTCAAGATCTATTTGCCCTGAAATTTTCAGACCAATCAGGCAACACGTTGTTGGGTTGTTGCCCCTGAATTGGTAATTTTAAGAAAATTTTGCAGCTTTTGGTTATTATCTTGAATATTATTATAGATAGAGATAAACTGTAAAAGCAATAATGTACAGCAAAGTAAGATCTACAAATAAGTCAACATGACGAAAATTGTCAATTGACCCCCTAAGGAGTTATTGCCCTTTATATTCAATTTTTTACAATTTTCATAAATTTTGTAAATTTTTGTAAATTTTTACAAAATATTTTCCATTGTAACTACTGGGCCAAGTTCATTATAGATAGAGATAATTGCAAGCAGCAAGAATGTTCAGTAAAGGAAGATCTACAAACACATCACCATCACCAAAACACAATTTTGTCATGAATCCATCTATGTCCTTTGTTTAATATGCACATAGACCAAGGTGAGCGACACAGGCTCTTTAGAGCCTCTAGTTTTTGGGGGCTCTTATTTTTTTTCTTCAAAATTTTTGAAATTTCAAATGATTGCACAGTATTGCGCAATAGCAAAAAATCTTCAATTGCACAATAGCACAGTATTGCGCAATAGCAAGAAATCTTCAATTGCAAAGTATTGCGCAATAGAAAGAAATCTTCAATTGCACAGTGTTGCGCAATAGTAAGAAATCTTCAATTGCACAGTATTGCGCAATAGCACAGTATTGCACAATAGCACAGTATTGCGCAATAGCAAGAAATCTTCAATTGCACAGAATTGTGCGATAGGAAGAAATCTTCAATTGCACAGTATTGCGCAATAGCAAGAAATCTTCATTTGCACGGTATTGCGCAATAGCATAGTATAGCGCAACAACAAAGTATTGCGCAATAGCACAGTATTGAGCAATAGCAAGAAATCTTAAATTGCACAGTATGGCGCAATAGCACAGTATTGCACAATAGCACAGTATTGCGCAATAGCAAGAAATCTTTAACTGCACAGTATTGCGCAATAGCAAGAAATCTTCAATTATACAGTATTGCGCAATAGCAAGAAATCTTCAATTGGCCAGTATTGTGCAACAACACAGTATTGCGCAATAGCAAGAAATCTTCAATTGCGCAGTATTGCACGATAGCAAGAAATCTTTAATTACACAGTATTGCGCAATAGCAAGAAATCTTCAATTGAAAATAAATACAAATCTTTTAACCAATTTCAATGGGATTAATTTAAAGTCTTCAATTTTTGGGGGTTCTAAACTTGTATTACTTTTTTGGATGTTGGGCCCCATTTTTAAATTGGTCTACATTGAGGTCAAAAGGGTCCAAAATTAAACTTTGATTGATTTCATCAAAAACTGAATTATTGCGGCTGTATGATATGCCGAATCTTATTGTGCATTTAGATTTTTTATTTTGGGCCCTGTTTTCAAATTAGTCCATATTAAGGTTTGAAGGGTCTGAAATTAAACTTCGTTTGATTTCAACTAAAATAAAATTTTGGGTGTTTTTTTATATGCTGAATCTAACCATGTTATTAGATTTTGGATATCAGACCATTCTAGGTAAATTCAATGTCCCGATTCAAATTTTTAAGATCTTTGACCACATTTATTTTGTGTCAGAAACCTATATTATGTCAAAAATTTGATCACAATCCAAATTCAAACAGTATCAAGCTCGAATATTGTGTCAAAACTTGCCCCAACTATTCAGGGTTAGACCTCTGCAGTCGTATCTGGCTGCGCTCAGCCAAGCATTTTATATGAGATTTTTTTACTCTGGATGTAAGTATAGGAAAGGAGAAAAACAAGATGACATACATGTACAGTAAATTCAGAAATTATTGTGAGGTTTTTATTAATGCGAATAATGGGACTGGGTGAGTATCACAATAATAAAAACTCACATTCTGATATCTGATACTTATTTATATCTGTATACAGATTTTCCAGAAATCGCAATAATTAATCTCGTATTTTTGCCCATTCTTCAAAATTCACAACAATCTCTGAAATTGCTGTTTTCTGGAGGATTTTCTGGATAGTTTTCTATTCCGGAGATCGCAGCATAGATAAATCACTAATAAAAACTAGTTGGTTTACTTATTTGGCCACACAAATTTTCCAAAAATTTAATAAAATTTAGAGTGGTCTAAGTAGTTACTACTGTAATCACTAGCCAGTCAACACTGAGGTTGTGAGTTCGAACCCGGCTCGTGCGGGTGCACTCGACTCCAATCTTAATTGACTAGGATTGTCAGTTTTCCTATCGAAGGTCGGTGGTTTTATCCAGGGACTCCTGCTTCCTCCACCAATAAAAACTGGCCGCCACGAAATAGCCCACAAGCGGTGCTTAAAAGTGGCGTTAAAACATCAACAATCAAATCAAATCATATATACATTGTACATTACTAGACAAATTTGGTTCTTTTAACTTTGTACTTCACTATTGCATGATGGTTCTATGTTTATATTGTCAAATAAACAGAATGCATTTGAAAAGATTTGTTTACACCTAAATCATCATAGTGACTTGCAGTCACCAAAAGCAAAAGTTGATTGGAGAAAGAGTTTATAAGACTTTGTATATTATCCTTTAAGACATCACATATTATTTCTCTCAAACTTGATTAAAAAAATACTTGTACTTGGTCAAGAAGGTAATAAAAGAATCATTATTTAGTCAAAGTTGTCAATTTATACAATCCTTCAAAAATTATGTTAATGATGTTGAAAAATAAATAAAGTATGACAGTTTTGTTGCTGTAATGCAGAATTTTCATTTGTGATGTCATAAATTTGAACACCATCACATATTGACTGAGTTAATTATGAGCAACTGTCTTACCGCAAAAGAGTCATATTTACTTCTTTGTATTCTGTGTTTATTTTAAAACCGAAATCAGTTAAATTTAATTTTTTTTCTCTTAACTTCAGTTAAAGAAGGGAAATCTGCCTCTGATTTGATTGGACTAGAAATAATTGTGAAGACCAGATTTCGACAGTTCAAAATGTTACCTGACAAGAGATCTTCTATTACGGTATGCTTAAAATATAGTTTAAGTTTAAATCTTGTTTGCTTGATTGCTGTTAGCTTTTGATGCATTTATACAATTTCATTGCAGTCAATTTAATACATGAATCAGATATTTTGCTATTGCTTTTGCAACTAAGTTTTACACAGATGTACAAAAAACGTTTAATCTTTATGATATTTTTTTTCTGATATCACAGAATTAAAAAAAAAGTCTTAAAGTAGTTCTTTGTCAAAATTTTAGATAAAAATGCATTCAGTAAATTTTATACTCATTAAGAAACAGTTGCAGTAAAAAGTAAGCTGTAACATTATTATTTAACTATAATAATATTTAAAAGCAAATTTATGAAAAAAGACCTCAATTTAACGTAGCTGTAGCTGGCTTATAACCTATGGTTAAAATCAGACAGAAGTTATTTTTGTTCTTATGCAACAAATGCTGAGATTAATCCGTGGCATGTGGAATTGTCATATTTAATGCAGCATTTAGGAGTATGAACAAATACTGTTTGGCAGCTGGGAGTCTGAGGCCCCTCATGGGGTGTCAAAGTATAAATCACATAATCACAAATTTTTTGCCAATATTATCACATAATCATTAATTTTTTTTTTAAACAAGATAATCAAATGATAAAAAATACAGTCCTAATCAAATAATCATGTATTATTTTGTCTGGTAATCAAATAAACACTATAAAAACTGTCAAGTAATCACATAATCAAAAACCCCATGAGGAGGCTCGAGTCTGAATCATGTGTCCAGGGCTTACAGTCATAAAACTTTTGAGAATAACTGTTGTACTCAGAATCAGAACTCAACCAATAAAAATACAGGATTTGGTTTTTTTTATCACAAATTTTGAACTCCCTAGTACCGAGTAAAGTTTTATGACCCAAGAACCAGAATTTAAGGGAATGCTACATTTTGTGTTACAACATTGCAAATCCAGCTCAGCATCACTTTCCAATACCAAGCAATGTAATCGCTTTATGTTATGATGAACCATGTTTTCATCCTGAATATGCGTGTAATATTTCCTGCTGGACATTAGACACTATCATACATGTACATTAACTTTTCACCAATTGTAATCAAAATGATGATGTTAATGAAAGTGTTTTAATGCAGAAAGGTATAAAAATTTGTATGCTTTGAAATAAATTTTTATTTTAGGTTGTATGCTCGTTGGTGTCAACAATACGTCACTACAATGCCTTGTCCCGCCTTTACAAAACCACGATGGTCAACAGTATTTTGACTCCAGGTATCCTTAGAGTATTTCACAATCATCCTTCAGTTAGAGAAAATGATCTTCTGGGATTAGTAAGTTTACTGAAAAAAATAGTTTAAGAGGTTAATGCTATGATTATGATTGATTGATTGATTGATTTGCATATATTAACCCCACTTTCAGCATTATTGTGCTATTTCGTGGCATTATTTATTGGTGGAGAAAGCCAGAGTGATTGGAGAAGCCAACCACCTTTGGTAGGAAAACAGACAATCCTAGTCAATTAAGATTAGAATCAAATGCACCTGCCAAATGCGGGATTCGAACTCACAACTTCAGTGTTGTCAGGCTAGTGATACAGTAGTCAGACTACTTAAACTTCTCTTTTACAAAGGCCCCCTATTATGGATATGTGCATCTCTAACATTATATATAAAATTTCATTCTTATTAATTTAACTGCATTAAGGACAATGAAGGATGTTCGCTCCTCTTGTTTTTGAATTTTTGCCAGATTTTCAGAATCCGCTGGTTTTATCCATGTTTGGCCATTACATAATTTTGTCCACTAACCCCTACTTTTCTTTTCATAATTTTATTACATTTAGTTTAAAAAGCCATATTTGAAAATCTTATAAAATCCTTATTATTTTTTCATTGTTTTTGAAAGAAAAAAGGTGCCAATGTTAAATGTATGAAAAATCTAGAATGAATCATTTCCCACCAATTTTTCAATGGCTTATTTCTAGAAAACAAGATCACGGACCCATAATTTTTTTCTGCGTTTTCAGTTCCGTTATTTACATACTATCAATTTATAATAGTCTTTTAAAAAGCATGTTATTTTGAAACAGAGTAGCAAACATCCTTAAGAGTTTGTGACACTATGACAAATGAGGTTATACATACCCTATTACTGGTCATAGGTACTACAGATACAATAGTTATCACTGTCAGATCAACATCTGCTGTACATGATCGTAAAACCCATTGTATTGCAAGTATGGCCTACAAAACAGCAGACAAAAATCTGCTCTATGCCTTAAAAGAAACAACTGTTTTTGATGACAAAAGGAAACACACATCCTATTGTATTTGCTGTAGTAGTTCCCTATAATGGGGTTGGTTATATTAGCATTTTCTTCATATTATGTTTCACTTTAGCAACACAATTTATGTTGGTGCTTCAAATAGATATAAGAAGATGTGGTATGAGTGCCAATAAGACAACTCTCCATCCAAGTCACAATTTGTAAAAGTAAACCATTATAGGTCAAAGTACGGTCTCCAACACGGAGCCTTGGCTTCAAAGTACACATATTCCTTGCATTATTTCATGCACTAGCAAACTTAAAAGATACATGAAAGTGATCAGCATGTTTAGGAGGCTGATTTGTAAATTAGAAATAATTAAATGGAAAATGTGTCCATGGGACACAGATGATGCCACTGCTTGCATATAATGTTATAAAGGAGCATAACTCGAGAATGGTAAAAGTGACACCACCCAAATTCTGTGTTTTGTGGTAATAAGCATTGTGTATAAGTTTCGTAACATTTGGTTGAGGCAAACTAAAGAGGACGGAAACCAATTTTGGGATTTATGGATGGATGTGCAAATATTAATTGACAGATTGACAAAGGTAATACTTAATGCCCCCTGAGCTGCTGGGGGATGGGGGTTTAGAATGAGAAAGGGGTTATTCAGCTATATAGTAATAGATCTTTTACATTTTATCCATTAAGCACACTGTTCATGTATTTATAGGATAAATATAACAAGTCACAACAAAAAGCTATTGTAATATCAACCAAGATTGCACTGGAGCCTGCACAGCAAAATAGGGTGGTGCTAATCCAAGGACCTCCTGGTACTGGTAAATCCTATACTATTATTGGTATCATCAAGAATATCATTAAGGTAACAATTAAATATTGTCATTTTCTGTGATGGTTTTACTTATAAAATGACGTCCAAAATGATGGTTGATTGTTAAAAGCTACATGCTGTCAGTGATATTGTTTGCCTCAAACTATCTCCGAAATTCGGCTTTTTCCCCTAGAGAAAATTCCCAATTACTAAAAAAATGGCATAAAATTTCTCCCAATAAGTTGTACATTTTTCCCAAACGGTGATGGCATTGGTAGTATTAATGTACGTAAATTTGGTATTCATGTAATTATTTTGATATTATGAAAGTGCTTTTGAGATCCAGGTTTCTGATTAGAATCATTGTGGTGTTTGTAACACACATGGTTTTCAATGTTTTAAGTCCGTCATTTTTTCCGTTTCTTTCCCCTCCCCAAAAAGTTCCTTTCCGGTTGAAAATGTCTCACAATTCAAACTATTACGTAAAAAAACTGTGCAAAAAAACTTCCCAATTTCCAAAAAAATGATGCTTTTTTCCAAAAAAAAAAGGGTAGAGGTAGTTTTGAAAAAAGACAACAATATCACTGGCTGTATTTCTTGATGGAGGTATACTTGTTTTTAGTTTTGTTTAGGTCAAATAAAAAAGTGTGCTAAGTCTGTTAGTCTTACTTTCTTTGCTTCCTACCCTAAGCTTTTTTTGTTAACGATTTGGTATATATTTGAATGGAAGTCTGGTATGCAAAAAAATTGTGATTTACAGCAAAGTTTGAGAAGAAAGACATTTTTGCTTAATTTCATAATATATTGTGTAGCTTATGAATTAACAATGCTTTTCGATGTCCAGATAGTATTCTTGAGAACTTTTTGCCAGAACTGTACTTCAATTTGAAGGCTGTTATGAAGTCAGTGTGTTATTTGAAGGAGTTCACCTACTTTTTAAAGGAATAGGACGGCAAGCATTTAAGTTAACTTATAGGACAAACATCAGTTAAACAAATACATGCTTTATTGAATTGTTAGTATTTTTTGCATTATAAAGTTGCCAGACGTGTAATATTGATTCTTCTTATATTTTCAGAAAAGCAATAGGGCATGTCATATTTGTCTGTGTGCACCATCAAATGCTGCCGTAGATGAATTAATGAAAAGACTAATAGATGAAAGAAGAAAGATGGAAGAAAAGAGTAAGTTAGTTCATAACATATGGTGTATTAATTCACGACACAATTTTCCTTCACACACTTAAAAAAAAACACCCTTTTCGACTATTCCTGATATCAAAGTCATTGTGAGGTCTTCATTCTTTTGAACCAACCTGTTGACGTAACAAGCATAAACATACTTGAAACCCTACCCATATTAGGGTTTGTAACCAGATATTTTGTTCTCCTGTGGCATAACAGACATGTTTTATATTTTACTAGTTACAAAAGCAATGGATTGACATGCTAGAGTTTTGTTATTTAGTACTGTAAATTCAGAAATTATTCCGTGCATTTATTATTGCGATTTCAGAAAAATCTGCATGCTGATCTATATATGTTTTAGTTATCAAAATGCAAGTTCTTATTATTGTGATACTCACACAGTAACATTATTGGCATAAATAAAAACCTCACAATAATTTCTGAATTTACAGTAATCAATCAAATGAAGATTTCAAGAGATACTAAATGACTGCACTCTTAATTTTATTTTTGTATTAAGGATGTACTCCCGTCAGGTTTAGGAATTTTTGTCAGATGTTCAGACTCCCTTTTTTCCCCCTATGATACAGGGTAAAATAGTTTGCCCTATAGCACCCATTTTTCTTTTAAGACTTCAATAGCTCATAAAAGGTCATTTACTAAAATTTAAGCAGATTCTAGATTTCTTTTCTTTCGATTTGTGACCCAAATAATACCCATGCAAATACAAGGTTAAAGTCTTGAGTCAGCCTTTTCCCGCCATTTAAAAAAAATTAAATATCTCGAAAAGAAGCTCCATAACCTATCCATATTTTTAGCTTTTTTTGTTCCTTAACTAATGCTCTTCCGACTTATAGTATCAATTTTAAATTCTTGATTTTTTTAATTTCACCTACATGTGTAAGTACATCCTTAACATTCAATCGTGACATGCATATATTGCTGTTTTTCATAGTGAAGGTAAGATTGGTCCTCAAACCAACAATAAACAATTCAATATTAGTTCAGAAAATAACGTTGCTTGATTGAATTTATTTTGTTTAAAATATGTTTTTATATTTTAGGTAAACATTCTGGATTCCGACTAGTTCGCATCGGTAAACCAGAAAATATACATCACGATGTACAAAAGTACACATATCGGGAGATTGTAAAAGTTAATCAAGCAGAGGGTAAGTGGAACAGCACATGTTTGACTTTAAGGATGTTTGCTCCTCTTGTTTTTGAATTTTTGTCAGATCAATGTTCTCCCCAGGCCCATAAAGGACCGCGGGCCCGCGATGTATAATTTTTAACCGTGGTGGTATCGTTCTTACCGCGATGTATAATTTTTCTCCGTGGTGCTAAAATTTTCAGTTAAAAAATCGTAAATCGGTAAAGTTTTAAACGATTTGTTAAATCTTTTCCGTGCGGTATAAAATTCCAGGTGAAATTTGACCAGTTCAAACCAGTTCAACACATATTGTTTACACCACGTGATTGATTTACCTTTATGAGGTTAACCTTTGTTGATTGGATTTAACCGATGTAATTAACACTTTTTACATGATTCTTTTGTGTTTTAATTTAGAGATCATAACTTTATGATCAAAGATAACTATTTTAAGGCTTCACTCACCACCTGACAAGTCGGCAAATACTTTGTACACAAACCGTGTTGACCCGATAGTTGTACACACGGCGGTACATATTTTGTACATTATAAAGTTAGCTCAATACTTATATTATAGTTTTATATGTCTCTGATTAAACCATGGCCAAACTTATCTTTAATTATGACATAGTTATTGCATGCTATTCCGGTTTCAAACTGTCAACAAGTAATTCAAAGGAGAAGGATCACATGACCCAGTTAGTTCACGTAGAATATTCAAGATTATTTACAATTAACTGCAATCTATTCTATTTTATAAATAAAATGCATGACTGTACCTTAAAACTGGATATATATATCCATATGATCATTAATGAATAACGGAAGTGATCTTGCAATTTTAATCCATAAGCACATGTTAAATCTATTTATATCTACTTCCTGTCATTTAGGCGGGAAAATAGGGAGACTTTGTTGTTGACATTGAATATGTTACTTATAGATCTATAGACCTAAGATAAATTTATAGATTTAGCAATACTTTTGAAATGGATCATGACAAATAAAGATTTGGATTTCAGTGCAGTATTAAGTCTGTATCTATGTTTGATTATCACCAAAGACAAGAAAGGCTTATATTTACATGTTCATGAAATCTATGGCAAAATGTTTTAGAATTTATGAAAAATTTCTTTTTATTAAAATTTAAGATAGAAACTGGTTCAGATTATTACACTATTTTGTTTCTTGTTAATTTTATATCTCCTTATGACAGGTATCCTTTCACATACAACAACTTTCTTTCTAGAAACTAGAAAGGTTTTTTAAATTGATCATTTTTGTTCTCTTTTGAATATAGGAACAGTATATCTAACAATATATATGTTCCTGTTTGAATGATATTTTATTTTTATTGATCATGGATTTTATAAAAGATTTAATTACTTTAAATTTAGATGAATATTATGTAATGAATCATGTTTTATTTATTTAAAAAAAATATTAAAAGTATACAAACTGTTTATTGATATTTTTAACCAATAATATTCTGACATAACACAGTACCACAGTATTAAAACTAAACAAGAGACATAAAAACTGCAGTAACTAGAAATATAGCGACGCCACGCGACACAACTGATTGTATGAATCATTTCACCAAGCTGTTCACACGTGTTACCCTGGTGCTATCCAAAAATCCTGGGGAGAACACTGCAGATATTCGGAATTCTCTGGTTTTATCCATGCAGTACCAATAAATATTTTGCCCACTAACCCCTACTTTTCTTTTCATAATTTTATAACATATAATTTAAAAAGCCATATTTGAAAATCTTAAGAAATTCTTGTTATTTTTTCATAGTTTTGGAAACAAAAAAATGTGCCAATGTTAAATGTATGAAATTTCTAGAAAGAAATATTTTCCCGCCAATTTTACAATGGCTTATATCTCGAAAAACAAGGTCACAGACCCTTAATTTTTTTCTGCTTTTTAAGTTCCATTATTTATGTACCAGTCAGGGATAAAACTCTATAGGGTTATTACAGAAAAATAACATGCATTTGTTATTGTGGACTAAAAAATCAAAGAACTGCGATAACAGATGTATGTTACATGTTTCAAAGGGACAATATACATCATTAGTTTAGTTAAAATGTGTACAAATTCTATTGATATTACTATTGTCTTTATGTATACTTAACAATAGAAAGATATAACAGTTCATAGTTTGTCAATTTTGCATAGTACACCTATGTTATTACAGAAAAATTTGCCTGTAATAACTAAAGGGTGTTATCCCAGCTTCTCTATATCACTCCAAAGCATTTGCTCAGACATACATCATGCTTAATTACAATGTATTTTAATTTATTGTAAGAAATAATGATCAGAGCATGTAATGAGGTTCTGCGCAAGCTTCCCAGTAATTCCCAAGTGTATCATATATTAAGTTAAATTCCTTTAATAACTAAGCCTTGTTATTACAGCTAAGTTTATCCCTTAAAAGCCTCGTCTCATTGATTAACCATGGTTAATAAAAATGTAATTAATTTAATTGGAAAATTAGTTATCAAGGCTATTTATAAGTTACTGCGCAAAGTTTCAAGTGTTCCCGAGAGCCCACTATAAATTGATTTATTTTACTAATAACAAACATATGTTATTACAGATTTAGATAATTTAAGGAATAAAGAGTAGACAACTCATGAAAGTATCTGTAATAACACACACAAGTTATTTTCTGTAATAACCCTATAGAGTTATATCTCTGACTGTATACTGTCACTTTATAACAGTCTTTTTAAAAGCTTGTTATTTTGAAGCAGAGTAGCGAACATCCTTAAGGCATCTATGTTCATCAACTTATAAGGCATTGAAACTGCGGATTACTTGGAAACTACTAAGTGTTGTCCCCAAGAACCATGACAGGAAAAGGCAACAGTAGTATACCCCTGTTCAATAGCCATAAACCGATTAAGCAAAAACAAATCTGGGGTTACAAACTAAAACCGAGGGAAACACATCAATTATAAGAGGAAAACAACGGAACAACAGAAACACTGTACTGCAACAAAAACAAACGCCAACATACATAGAAATGCACTATTTGATAACAACTGCCATATTCCTGACTTCGTACAGAACATTTTAAGAAAAAATGGTGGGTTGAACCTGGTTTTATGGCTAGCCACACCTCCCGCTTATATGGCAATGTTACATTTTTATAGAATCCCTCTCCACACTTCTAACACTTTTTGGTTTCAATCTTTTCATATTTGGAATTGTTGTTTTTCATTTTGAATAGCTGAAATTTCTTTGCCAACTTTTGTTTTGACAGGTTTTTTTGTGGGAGTTATGCGACATTTACCATTTTTAGCCAACTAGCATTTTAACACCTTGTGAATACTTCTTTGAGACCATATATTCAAAAACATTCGTACTTTGTCAAATTGTTTTTAGTTTTGAGTAATTAGTTGACTATAGTTTATTTGACAATTACCATTTTTGGTCTATTAAAGCATAATTCTTGAGACCTTTTTGTTATTTGAAGAAAAAAAAAACAAATGTTAAATCTCTAATGATCAAATTTATTTCAGAATTAAAGAACAAAATCAAGAGACAGGTCAACACAAGTGTGGTAAAAGAAATAGATAAGCTGAAGACCAGGATATCAAGTTTGCAGGAGGAATTGACTAATAAGATGATCAAAATGCAAACAATTGAGGTAGAGCAAATTTTCACCAAAAAATTGTTAAGGTAGCTGGCATGTCTGAAATAAAAAAGTTGGACAATAGAATTTTCTTAAGCTTCTGTAAAAGACTTCTGGGTTATAGTACTTTCAAATTTCAATATAAAAACTGGGGGCCATGGGTCTTGTTTTTTTCGTTAAAATACGTTTAAGTTATTTCATTTGGGTTATATAGCGGAAACTTGTTTTTTCTTATTGATGAGGTAACATTATATAAACTATAGAAATTGTTAAAATTTAATGAGAGAATTACTTTTCATAAATGCTCTGGAAATATCAAATAAAAATAGAGTGTCATGGTCCTCATTTTCTCGAAAAATCACAAAAAAACACAAACTGTCCTATCAAATTCAATATAATTATCTGCCCTTGATTTAAAAAGATTTTTTCTGAAACTTTTAAACACTCTTAATGACACTTAATTTTTGGAGAGTGTAATCTAATTTCAAGTGCTTAATGTTTCTGTTGTATATTGAATAATACTTTGTAAAATATTTTTTAATCAAGAGAGCATTTTTGCCACATTCCCTCAAGTGATGCTCAGAAAGAGACACCCTATCTACCTTAACCATCCCTGTCTCTGTCTAAAAATTCAACCCACACCTTCTTTATTTGTCAACAATGACTAATTCTGATCATTTATCATGTGTATGTGTGAACATTGAGATGTCAGTAAATTCATTTACATTTCCAGTCAGAGATTTGCCTGAAAGAAAGTCAAAATAGATGGTAATACATCAGTTTTTGTGATAATTAAAATAAAACATATTTGTGTAGAAAGAAAACATGCCATACTGTATGTGACTTTGAGATGAAGAACTTCTATTAAAGAACTGTTCCATTGTTAATGGTTTTTCAATTTGTTGTAGGGATTTGGTATCATAAGTTGATAACCATATTTCTTCTTTAACCATATTTCTTCTTTTTCATTCCTTATCATCTACTTTAGATGGTATCCAATTTCATACAGTTTTTTTTGTGTTTTGCAGGCAGGGAAGATCAGAAGTGAAATAAATAAATTAGAAAAGAAAAAAGATGACATGGAAGTTGCAATCCAGGCTCAATATAAAGTAAGATTTTAATTTGAGGTAGTTGTTGGGTTTTTTTTTGGGATGAAACCAGGCAAGATATAGTGTAAGTTTTTAATTGGTTTGCGGGGGCCTCGGTGGCTAATTGGTTTAAGTAGTTCAACTACTGTAATCACTAGCCTGTCAATACAAAGGTTGTGACAGGTGCACTGGACTCTAATCTTAATTGATTTAGGATTGTCAGTTACATACCAAAAGTTGGTGGTTTTCCACGGGGACTCCAGTTTTCTCCACCAATAAAAACTGACTGCTATGAAGTAGCACAATAGTGTTAAAAGTGGCGTTAAACACCAATCAATCAATCAATTTAATTGGTTTGCAATGAAATATTTTCTCTTTGACGAAATCTTTGCATAATATAAAGTAATGTTCTAGTATGACTTTAGCAATTGTAATTTAAAGCCAGTTTTTTTTAAGTTCAATACTATTTATAAGATATTTACTTAAGGATGAAACCCAGTCCTAGTATCAATTAATTATATGTTTTCTTTTCCTATAATCATGATTACAGCTTTTTTTTCGAAATTGTACTAAGATTTACCACATAAAATTTCATCGTAATGTTGTTTATGGACCACTAAATATTTGAATTTTCATAATGATTTTTTTAACCAGTTATGAAAAATGAAATAAACTATATACCTGAACAACTTATTCTAATTCATTTGTTAACTAATTTACTTGCAGGACATAAAACTAACGAGACAAGAAGAACAAAAAGTTATGAGGGATGTGTTGATAAAGAGCCATATAGTGTGTGGCACACTGAATTCCTTTGGGAATGATTATTATGCAGACATACTAGCTCCTTACTATCAGAACAGTAGGAGGTCAATGTTTAATTGTATTATTGTAGATGAGGTAAGACACTTACTTTTGTCATGTTATAAATTTACATTGGATAATGGTGCAATGGTCATTTGAGAATCCTGCCACAAAAAAATAAGTCGTGCTGTCATCCAGAAATAGCTTGATTTCCAGCAAAAGTAAAATCACAAAAATACTGAACTCTGAGGAAAATTCAAAACGGAAAGTCCCCAATCAAATGGCAAAATCAAGAGCTCAAACACATCAAACGAATTGATAACAACTGTCATATTCCTAACTTGGTACAGGCATTTTCTTATGTAGAAAATGGTGCAAATTTGTTTACTTTGGACAAGCAAGACTGACAGGTATATTGGCTTTCAAATGCTGTAAAATGTATACTGATAATATACTAGCTTTAGAACCTACCAAAATATATTCATTTGAGAAATTTATGGCTTTAGTAATATAAAATGTACACTTTTAACCTACAAATTTTAGAACCTACCAAACTTATTAAGTGTGGATTACCTCTTGTCTTAATTTTATGCTTATGTATATATGCAATCAGCTTTTAATCATAAACAGTATATAATAAATTATATTAATTACAGGCTTCACAAGCAACAGAGTTAGATACACTGATACCTCTACAATATAGGGGACTACTAAATGTGTATATAATAGATTATATTAATTACAGACTTCACAAGCAACAGAGTTAGATACACTGATACCTCTACAATAGGGGACTACTAAATGTGTATATAATAAATTATATTAATTACAGGCTTCACAAGCAACAGAGTTAGATGCACTGATACCTCTACAATAGGGGACTACTAAATGTGTATATAATAAATTATATTAATTACAGGCTTCACAAGCAACAGAGTTAGATACACTGATACCTCTACAATAGGGGACTACTAAATGTGTATATAATAGATTATATTAATTACAGGCTTCACAAGCGACAGAGTTAGATACACTGATACCTCTACAATAGGGGACTACTAAATGTGTATATAATAGATTATATTAATTACAGGCTTCACAAGCAACAGAGTTAGATACACTGATACCTCTACAATAGGGGACTACTAAATGTGTATATAATAAATTATATTAATTACAGGCTTCACAAGCAACAGAGTTAGATACACTGATACCATTACAATACGGGACTACTAAATTGATTATGGTAGGAGATCCTGAACAACTTCCGCCAACTGTCTTGTCACAGGTAAGGAAAAGTCATAATTAATTGCACAAAGGAAGGTTGGGGATATTACAACATCTTCTGTTAATGAACATGAAATTTACAGTTATGGGTTTTTTGCTTGTTCAAATCTGTTGAAAAAACACAGCCGATATATTGTACCAGAATAAGATTGAAGATACAAGTTATCTACAAATAATCATCATTTAGTTTCAAAAGGTCGAAGAACATTGCTGCCACAGAAAATCTTTGATTCTGAATTGCCTGATTTCCAAAAGTCTTCAATGTAATTGCAAGGCAAATTGTTTTGAACCCTTAGGGGACAGAAGAAAACAAAGGCCGATAAATTGTACTAAATAAGATTAAAGATCTATACAAGTTATCTACAAATGATCATCATTTAGTTTCAAAAGGTTGAAGATCATTGCTGCTACAGAAAATTTTTAATTCTGAATTGCCTGATTTCCAAAAGTCTTCAATGTAATTGCAAGGCAAATTGTTTTGAAACCTTTGGGGACAGAAGAAAACAAAGCCATCTGAAGCTCAATTGTCAGAAAAGAGGGGCGAAAGATACCAGAGGGACATTCAAACTCATAAATCGAAAATAAACTGACAACTGATATCAGAAGTTATCTGCTCTTGATTAAATGTTAATTTGACTGGTAAGAGATTCAGGTATCTTGTAGCCTCTAGTTAGAAAAGTCACAACACAGACAAATCATTTTTTTTTTTAATTCTATGTAACCTTGTTAACATTTCATCATGATAAAACAGCTTACCAGCATGAATGAGTGATTCCCCTAAATGATTTCTAGAGCAGGCCTAATTATTAATAAAAGTTGTAATTGAATGTTCTTGTAATTTTTTCAGAAATCTGCTCAGAAAAGTTTTGGACAATCACTGTTTGAGAGGTTCTACAACCATTTTAGACACGAAGATGTAAACCCTGTTCTATTCTTAGATACACAGTATAGAATGCATCCAGAAATAGCTCATTTCCCTAGCAAATTTGTCTACCTTGGTGCACTCAAGACTGACAGGTATATTAAGCTTTCATGTACTGTAAATTATTTACGGTGCACCAACCAGTTTGCATGACTTTCCAAGTAAAATATCCAAATATAATAATTTGTCAATATGTGAGACAAAAATTAAAAAGTATAACTTGTCACAATTTGTAAAAATTAAGCAGCATATAATTGATTTAGGAAGATTGATAAAAGTTTAAGAGGTAATTAACTGACTGATGTCAGAAGTAATATCTACATGTATGGTAAGAAGTTCTTATTTTCATTTGCAATAATGTCATATAAGCTATTAACTGAATGTCAAAATTTTATTGAAATTGAATTTTTTTCCCCACAAGAAGTCAAAACAAGAGATATCATCTGTTTTTAAACATTTAGCCTGTATTAATAAGATGCTTTGATATGGAAGTCTTGGAAAATTCCATTTTCTAGTTCCATATTCATAAAATAATAAATATATGTAATGTCACTTGATCATAGGCTATCAGTATGGTAGGGGGTCAAAATAAAAAAAAAAAAAGCAGGAAATCTGTTAAAATTATATATTTACTTAATTTCTTTGAGAGAATTACGAGGCAGATTCTGAGAAAAAAACTATTTTAACCTCCACATTAAAACAGCTACTACCATGACTACCAAGAACTTGTGTATTCACAATGATATTAAAATGTTCTTATGACTTTTTAGGAGTTATCTTTCCCAACTTTGATGCGAAAAATGCGACTTGGTTATAATCGCAATAATTTAAACTCGCATTTTGAAATATTTTATATGAATTAAACAGGATTTTTCTCAATATCGCAAAAATTAAAATCGCATTTTAGTCTAAAATGACAAAATCGCAATAATAAATGCACGCAATAATTTCTGAATTCACAGTAGCAAAAATGTCCTTTCTTTCTGTTTACAGTTCTGTAGAGGAAAGATGTAACATTTTCCAGTTAAAACCATATCTTTTATTTGACATGCAAGAAGGACAGGAACACAGCACACAGAGGGGGTTAGTATTTGTTAATATGTTCATTTTAAACCACTGCAATCATTGTATAGTCTCATTTCTAATATGGTAAATGTGTGGTGTACTCTGTTGAGTTGAGCATATCTGGCCTGAGAACACAGTTATTTCGTAGTGCATTTCTTTTAGACAATAAATGAGAATTAAAAAAATCGCACCTGCACTTTCTCAATAATATTTTTACAGTGTGGTGTTCTACTTTTGGGACAAATTATATTAAAATTATAGAAAACTTCTTCAGCTATAACTCAAAATATGGACAATTTTATGTTAAGGGTGTCTTGAATAATTTTGACAGCTTCCGAAATATTAATTTTTAACCTTTTTTAGCTGGACCAAATCACTACTTTACATTAAAATTCATGACCTAATTTTTTTACAGTGTAATTTCATCCCCCTACTTGCTATTTAAGGCATAAAACATGAAGAAATAAATTTAGAAGGGGTATAAAAAAAAATTACAAGTAACACACTCTCCACACAAGGGACTATATTTGTAGACAACAAAAATCAAAGGACAATAACTGTGTTCCGGGACCTAACCTTGTAGAATGTACATGGATTTGTAAGTTTCATGATAAGGGAGTTAATTTATGAATGTAAGGAAACCCACAGCTATGATAAGGAAAAAGGGAAATTATTTTTATTCCACAATCAGTAAGCAACTTATTGTCTGTAAAGAAATTCAAGCATTTTTTTCTGGGTTTTATTTAATTTTATTGATGGAAGAAGATGCATGTATTAAAAACTTAGAGTTGCACCATGAATTGAGGATTTTATAGTGGCAACTTTTCAAATACACTACTGTTATTTCTAAGCTAATGCAATACTTGTAAAGAAATGTATACTATGATTGAACAATACAGTACAAAATTGCTAAAATACCTCTTTTCTATTAAAGACTAAAATAAAACCATCAACACATGTAAATACTCTTACCTTTTACACAGGAAAATATGAAAGTTTTAAAAAAATTTCCTGGTCAAAGGTATGATTGATAGAAACAACAGACTTTAAAAAATAAAATATCAAAAGTACAACACAGAACTGGGGAAAAGTCAACATGAGCATCCCCCTTCCCCCTAAAAAAAAATGAGGTGTGACCTCAGACACCCTTGAAGGTTATGCAGTTCCTACTCAAATAGATGCACCCTAAGGTGAACAGGGCAAGTAAATAAAGACTTTAGTTTAAACTTGCTTGGCATTAAACACTGGGCATCATGCATTTGAGGGGAGCCCACTCTGGGAGCGGTGAAGCTGTCATTCGATTTTTGCAGGTATAAGTCAGATGTGTAGTAAATTATGGATGTACTGGGTGAAATTAAAAAAATCTAGAATTTAAAATTGATACTATAAGTCAGAAGAACATTAGTTAAGGAACAAATAAGCTAAAAATATTGATAGGTTGTGGAACTCCTTTTTGAGATATTTAATTTTTAACAAATGAGGGTAAAAGGCTGACTCAGAGTTTTACCTTATATTTAGCATTGGCATTATTTGGATCTCAAATCGTAAGAAAAAAAAATCTAGAATCTGCTTAAATTTTGGTAATGACCTTTCTATGACTTATAGAAGTCTTCTATGAAAAGAAAAGAAGTGGGTGATATGGGGCAAAATATTTTACCCTGTATCGTAGGAAAAGACCTAAGGAGTCGGAACATCTGAAAAAAATTCCCAATCCTGACCTGAGTACATCCTTAATTCAAATCATTGGTTCATAATCTAATTAGATTTGGCTTCATGTTTAGACAAGCAAATTTACAGCTTAATAGGTAAGCATTGAAGTGTCAAATGGTATTTTCTTAGCAGACCATTTGATTCTTAAAAAAAATAAATGACATATACACACCTTCTATGCTGCATATTTACAAAGTGAAATAAGTAATATATTCCTACCTGCGTGGCTTTGGTTCTATAGAAAAAAAACATCGAGGTATATACATGCCTCTTGGGTAGGGGATTCATTGTCTAATGAGTTCTTGTCATGATACTTTCCACTTAACTTGCAATTCACCGTTGCTATGAGCACAAGCTTTTTTTCAATGGATGAAAACACTTGAATGGACAATCGGATAATCGGATGGACAAGTCATCATGGATTTAAGAAATATCCTAATTCATGCAAATTTTGATTTAAATGAAAAATTTGTTTTATTTACTGTGGATTCATTTATTTTATTGGATATTTGATTTCATGGTTTTGTCAAAGTTTGCATACAAGCCTATAGAAAATTTGTTATTTGTTGAATATTTGAATTCTTGGTTCACCTGTACCCACAAAATGCACGAATATTGGTATTATTACATCTGGTTAAAAAATATTCCAGACATATTTAGAATATTTTAAATTCCAAAGAACAAATTTCAATATTATATTTGCTTTGACAAGTCAATAACATTTATTATTCCTTATTGGTCGGACTTTAGTAGGGTTTTCTATGTGAATTGGATTTTGAATAAAACAGCATATTTACCTCCGGAAAAAGTATATTCACAGCGCAAAACGTTGCATGCATTTATGTGAATAATTATGGTAAAATCGTTTGACGTACAATTGGTTTTGGTAAGTAATTGTCATTACCTACATTTTCTCTCTCGCAATACGGAATAAAACATTTACTGTCTTTTGTTTTGGTAAATATGGCCTCAGTGAATATCAGTTTTTCAAAAGTCAATAAAACCACACATTTACCTCATCAAAAGACAGTAATTGTATAAGATCAGTATTTTGGTTAATACCACATAGACAAAAACTGCATTTTGATTATTTTATTCTTCATCTGTCCAAAGATTGTTCCATTCAAGTGTTATCATACTTGAGAGCAACAAGAGTGGACTAATGTGTGAAATATTAACACTTGTGTTGCAGGCAGTTGGGCACAATAAAATAATTATTTTATTAATTTTATTCACTGCTTTAATAACAGAACAGCCAAATTCATATAGAGTTATTATTCAGTGTCATCTAACATTTAATACAGTAAATACAAATTGTTTCAGTCAAAAATCACTTTTGCTGGTGCTGATTTGAATTTGGTGATAACTCTTGTCAGATTTTTAGGACTATTCAATTAGAATTGTTGTGGAAAGGTAGGAAAAAACTAATTTTGGATACTGTGGATTCATTTATTATCGTGGATTGAGTGAAAATTATATTTTCATGGATATTTGATTTTGTGGTTTTGCCAATTTTTAATAATCTATAGACATTGGTATTAGTAAGTTTTGCTGGGATTGGTTCATGGACATGACTATTTATAAAGTGCACCAAAAATGTAAATGCATTTGATATGTTACATGAAAAAAAACATATTGATTATAATTAAAAAGTAATTTAATCGAATATTAAATAAGGCTTAGGTACTTGATGAGGATGTACGGCCTTCGTCGAATATAACCTAAATGATATTCGAAACACCAGGTGTAATATCATCAAATCATAGAAATTTCTAGTAGACAATTTGATTACCACAGATTATTTGGGAAAATCCTTTCAAATATATTGAATTGTAAAAATTTATAATTCATCACAGAACAATGTACCAAAGAAAGGTAAAATCAAGTCTCAACAATTTAAGAAAGTAAAGTGAATATATATACTTAGAGCAAAACATGCTACATATATGGATCACCTTATCGTGCATTATATAAATAAAACAATTATAGAATAAACCTGTAATTGGAGGCAAACATATAAATGCATTTTACTTATACATAGTGACACTTTAAAAGTATATAAGGACAAGAAATAAAATCTCCTATAGACAATGGTATTAGTAAGTTTTGCTGGGATTGGTTCATGGACACAACTTTTTATAAAAGGTTTTGCCAAAGTTTCCGTACAAGCTATAGAAAATTTGTACTTTGTTGAACATTTAAATTGGTGGTTTCCCTTTACCCACTAATTCACAGAAATTGGTAACCCTCAAATATTATTAGTTACATAGTGTGCTAGTGACCTAATACGATATATATTGAATTTATTGACCCCATATATATCGTATTAGGTCACTAGAACACTGTAACGAATTATCTTACCAACTGTCTTAACATGTGGCATTTAGACCAGTGGCCTATCAAAGTGATCAAGTCTTCAATATAAAGAACCTACTTCCATTTGTCTATACAAAAACAAATGCCAACAATAACAACTTGTTAGCTTTTATTGTGTTTTCTGCATTTATTTTAATCGTTCATCATCAATTTCTTCATCTGTTGTCCGGGTGAAACGTTTAAATTTTTCCTCAATGCCGTGTTATTTTTATAAAGGGACGTAACACCACTCCTAACCGTGTATTAAAATAAGCCACGCCTACTAACCCCATATGAAATATACATGGTCTCCATGTGGTCGCTTTTAACCAATGATATTCCTAGAAATGTATATGAGGTAAGATAATAGTGAATCTACAGTACATTAAATGGACATACAATAATAAAGGGTCTTTGACCCTTGTCCAAAAATTAAACTTCCCTTCTCTTCTTTCTCTTCTCTTCTCCTTTCATTTAAATTGAATAGCTCAGAACATGTTATATCAACCATACCTCGTTTTTCCACAAACTATTTTAAACACTTCTATAAAACCACTTTACCAAATGGAATAACAGTACACCTTGGACATTATCATTCAATGCTAAGGTTAAAAATGATTCTTGTTGCTCCTGATCTTTGCGAAAGTAGAAAAGGTTACTAAAAATAGAACACAATGGTAAAATGCAAGATGAATAAATAGACAATTCTCATAAAGGTCAATAAATGCTAACCTGTTAGCAAACAAAGCATTAATGACCCCAACAGATTTAATATAACCTATGGATAATACGGAGAGATATTTTGAAATACACCTACAATCACTAACATACACCACCAATAGTGGTTTTTGACTGAATCAACTTTTGTGTACTGTATATTGCTTTTACTTACATGGTGTACATTTCATTTGTATTACATAATTTATATTTTAAAATATTTCCAGATATGGATTGTAAGTGTTGTTACAAATTGTTGGGAGTTTAAAGTTGTATTAAAATGTTTTTTCATTACCATTTTTTTAAATTTCCATTGTTCTAATATTTGCCTCATTTCATTTACTTTCCTGTATTTTTTTTTGTAGTTGGTAGGCTTCTGTCTCATTTTGCAGAAATGCTTGATAGTGAATAAATACTAATGTTTTTAACGTTTGTCTAAATTGTTTCTCAACAGGTGCTTAAGTTGGCTAATCATCAGACAAGTTTTAATTTTAATTTACATTCTTCGTACTAATCATATTCAATATTATTTCTGTCACTTTGGGGATTGCTAAGTTAACTGTAACTGAAAATATGATGATAATAGAAAATATCTTGAAAGTCGGGTCATTCTAAGTACACACCAAGGATGACGATGTAAACAGCCATAGATTGTTGTTGTCCATTTGCCTGATTACACTTCATAAAGTAAATCATATTGTTTGAGTGATTAATTTTCATAAAAGACAATATTGAAATTGCATGCAGAAACCTTTTGTTGATTTTGACAATTGTTTACAGTCAAGACTTAAGTTACAATGTATAAAAAAAGGAAAGAAGGCAATTTTCAATATGTTTTATGATAACTCTGTAAGGATTTGACATCAATAACAACCATCTTTTAGCTTGTTGATAATTTTTAGATTAACTGTTCTGAGTTCTGGAAAGTTTATGGTTGAAACATGGTGACTGACATTTCATTCATTTTTAAGTGATGGTGTGATAAATTAAGGTACAAGAATAGATTTCATAATTGTTCATTAAGCTTGCGTTCAGGTTCTACCAAGTTCCTTTTTCATTTGCTAATTCAATTAAGATGGTAATCAACAAGTTTGTTTAATTTAAGTTTTCTTTCAGAGCAATTATAAACTCTACAGAGGCTGAGTTCACAATAGAACTGTGTGAGTTCCTAATGAGTCGGACAAGGTTGCAGCAGCAACAGATTGGAATCATTGCACCATACCAGCAACAGAAAAAAATCATCAAAGAAGGACTGGAATCAAGGTAATATTTCCCATTTGGTTGCAGTGTTTTGTCACAACTAGTATAAAAATAAGGAGATGTGGTATGATTGCCATTGAGACAACTATCCACCAAAGTTCAAATGAAGTTGATGTTAGCAATTATAGGCAACCATACTACCTTCAACAATGAGAAAAACCCATACTGTATGGACGGCTATAAAAGCCCCGACATGAAAAATATGAAACAATTCAATTGAGAAAACTAACGACCTAATTTATAACAAACCAATTTACGGAAAACAAATATGACAGACATGAACCAACGACAACCACTGAACTACAGGCTGCTGACTTGGGACAGGCACATAAAGAATGTGGCAGGGTTAAACATGTTTGTGAGCGCTCAACCCTCTCCTAACCTGGGACAGTGGTGTAACAGTACAAAATAAGAACAAACTAAAAAATCAGTTGAAAAAGGCTTAACTCATCAGATGAATACATCTAACAAAAACACAGAGTGGACGTGGACGGGTATTTGTACATCCCAAAAAACGAAAAGACACTAAGTACAGATCTGAGAGTACTCACAGTTAATGACAGCTAGTTCAAAGCCAATAACAACTAATGAAAAAAATCATGTATCTAAGACTAAAATATCAATCAGTTCACATCCAACATCTAATGGATTTAGAATCATTTGAAATGGGAAAAATGTGGAAAAGCAAGTGTTCTTTAAAATATGCGTAAAAAATGAGGAGTGCCTGTTCTGTGGGAACAAATACAAGCAGAAGCAATTAGATGCCATTCTGTTAACAACTAAATATTAAAAGTGACCATATCTGATTGTTACATTTAAAAATAAGAAGATGTGCTATGATTGTCTATGAGACAACTCTCCACCAGAGACCTTATGACACAGAAATTAACAACTATAGGTCACTGTACGGCCTTCAACAAAGAGCAAAACCCAAACCGCATAGTCAGCTTAAAAAGGCCCCAAAATGAAAATGTAAAAATTTTTAAACGAGAAAACTAACAGCTTGATCTATGCACAAAACAATGAACGAAAAACAAACATTAGTCAGCTATCCTTATCCCAATTTACCTCAGTCAAGCTGTTTTGATTTCGATAATTATAATTGCATATGAGAGCTTCTTTAGTTGGCCTAACATTTCAATACCCGAAAATTGATGTAATGTTGATATATATTGCTCTAGGGTAATTTTGCAGGCCACTTGATGTTGTGGGTGAATTGCGTCAAATAATTACAGAAAATATGCCTATAGGCTGTTTTTGTCATTTACTTAATTTAAATTTTTTATATTTATTTTTTTTAATATTCAAAATGACATACCCCACATCTCCTTTCGTTTTTATACTAAGATTATATCAGAAAAAATATGTTTTAACACAAGAGATTATAGAAATATATGTTAAAAAAAATCATGTGATCTTTATTTTGTTTGTAGGAAATTGATATCAATTGAAGTCAACACAGTAGACAGTTTTCAAGGTCGTGAGAAAGAAGTGATAATTCTAAGTTGTACAAGAGCGAAAAATGTTTCTGGTGGAATAGGGTAAGTTTAAAGCTGATATACCTGAATTTTATGCTCAGAATGCAGTTTGAAAGTGATTTAAATTGTTGGTAAAAGTATTTCTATACAAAGGAGAGTCAAATGCAGAGTTCTCGAAATCTTTATTTCCCTAGTGGTCCTTGACGAAAATCTACTGGTCATCGCTACAATTTCTATTGCAAAATACCAAACATTGTGTTGCTCCTTTGCAAAGTTTTGGTGGTCAAAACCTTCGGATCACCACTTTTTCGAGAACTCTGGTCACATATGGGTTATGAATGAGCAAATTTATAACATTTATTGTTGAAGACCATATGTTGACCTTAAGGTGTCTAAACATTGTGTAATGTGTAGTTTATGTATATCTCATGTCACGTTTTGCTAACATAAAAATTTCAGACAGATTGCTATCTAGTGAATTTAGTCTATATCATGATGCTTTAAAAGAAATTACTCTTTTGTTCAGTCAATTTCTAAGAAAACATTATGGGAATAATTGATACGGAAAAAAATATTATGAGCACAGCAGGCTCAAGAAAAACATGTTTAGGTAATATTTTTTTTGACTTGTTTGAATGCTGTATTTCAGAATTTATAGATATATTGTCAGAGCTGAATCAAGGCTTAGGAGCCTGTTGTTCAGTGGTTGTTGTTTGTTGATGTGGTTCATAAGTGTTTCCTGTTTCTCGTTTTTTATATAGATTAGACCGTTGGTTTTCCTGTTTGAATTGTTTTACACTAGTTATTTTTGGGCCCTTTATAGCTCACTGTTCGGTGTAAGCCAAGGTTCCGTGTTGTAGGCCAATGACATATAATTGTAACTTTTTACACATTGTGACTTGGATGGAGAGTTGTCTCATTGGCACTCACACCACATCTTCTTGCTTATATTTAGAAGGATAAGTCTTACTGTGCCATAGTCTGGCAGTGGTATCAAACCAGTGGTCAAAACTCAAAATCTTCTTGTAGCATTTGAGTTTCTCCCCTTTAAACTGTCCAAATGATTGGTTTTGATCAAAAATTATTTTACGTTAATATCAGGATTATCTGTTTTGTTCATTAATTTATAACAGACATATGTCTTATTCAGTTTGTGTTTTCCCATTTAAATTATGCCCATAAGAAAATTGGTTCCTCCTGGAGTCTGTGCATATAAAAATAAGTCAACAAAAGAATAAAGACTAACTGCCCGGTCAAATAGATTTTTTTAATTAGACAGTTTGTATCTTTATACAGGTTTTTAGCAAACAGTAAAAGAATGAATGTGGCTTTAACGAGAGCAAAAACAGCATTGTATGTAGTTGGATGTCTTAGCTCTTTGAAGGTAAGTGTGGTGTTTATTTTTAAAAGCATACAAAGTCAATGAAGATGTTCTTCAGTCACAATATTTTGAAAGAACATTACTGTAATTATTTTTAGTGAAAATATATTTACCTCACCAAGTTTTAACTGCATACTGCTTAATGAGAAAAAGGCTTAACTCTTATCTGGTAATTTCGGAAGACTCTATTTATCAAAAAATAATTTAATTTTAGATGTAACACATCTTCTGATTGGCTGAAACTTTTTTGTCTATCAGCTCATAGACATAATTTTGTCATGTGACCATGACATCATCAACGTTTTTTCATGATTGACTGCTTAAAAACAGAATTTTGAATTAATTATAAGGAATGACTAATATTTTTTCTGTCTATTCAAAATATCCTCAAAAATGTGGTGCAAACTTTTAAATAACACGCTACACAGGTTTATATTCAGTGTGCAACACATTTTTGATGTTATTTCTTCATAGACAGGAAAAATATTACAGCCATTCCTTAATTATTGCAAGAAGTATAATAGAAGTGTTGATTATTTTATAGAGAGGTGACCTGGCATGGAGAAATTTAATTGAGGATGCCGAAAGAAGGAACGTTATCAGAAAAATCACAGAGGGAAGATATGATATGGTATTTAATGGTTGTTTGAATATCTCAGCTCGTCTGGGACGACTGTTTGTAACCTGAAGACAACAGTTACGGAAATTATCAAATTCTGAAAAAAACTTATTTTAAGCCTAGTCTTAATAAGAAAAGAAGTGATACTGTGATTTTAAACAAGTATGGATCGTAAAAGTATTTCGTAACTTGAAAAGGAAATGATTAAAGTATGATATCTGTAAAAAAGAATATATGGGTTGACTACTGAGTTCAATTACTGTAATTGAATGGAAGAGGGAGATGTTTTTGTTGATGTTAATTTTTGTTCAATTGAAACCAAATAAAATGGACTAGATAGCATGTCCGATTTATTACAGTAGAATAACAAAGATGTATAGCAAATAGTTTACGGAGTAATTAATCATGGAAAAATATTCCTTGAAAAATTATTGATATAGGAAAAAAAATGCTGAGTTCCATGTCTGTGTAAAGATGAAGGATAGAGTATTGAGAGAAAAATGGTTTTATCAAAATGGAGAGAAAAAGAAAGGGAAGAAGACAAGTTCATAATCATGCAGAAAATAACCTATTTTCTAAAGTATTTAGAATTGAAGTCTGATCAAACATTTATATGATAAAAAGGCTGACTAGTATCCATAGAAACATAGTGCTAATCATTGCTAATAAGAAAATGTTGAGTGAAAAATAAGCATTACATAGGCAAACCAATAAACCATTCCAAAACTGATATTAAAGAGATTTTGCACAATGCAGTGCTGAACCATTTTATTCTGTTGTTTAATGAACTATGTTTACATAATTGATTTTATGAAAACATTTTGTTTCTTGGAGATGTATATATTTTAATGATGTTTAATTTTAATTATGTGTAAATTATGTATATATAAAACATTCAAATATATATACATGTGCATCATGTGTGTATTTATATGTAACACTTTGTTCTTTTCATGAGAACTTTCGGGTAACCTACTAATCTTTGGGGAAAATGTGGATATGAAATTAGCTTATTAGCATTCAAATTGTGGTTCATTAGAAAAATGTTCAATTTATTTTGAAATCAAAATATTACCACTTTTTTTTCTTTATTATATAGATACTTGAAATCCTGTACAGCTATTTCCACTCTTTTTACATGTTTGAAAGGTCAACCCTTTAAACAGTTTACAAAACCTATGCAATTTAACTACAAAAAGTTGTAAATATTTTTTTACACCTATTGATCTTTGAAATTGTTAATTTGCTATGTATATTGTTTATGCAAATATTCTTTACTTCAACTGCTGGTTTTATCAAATAGATTTGTGTTAAAGAGGTAGACCTCAGTATAGGGACATAACTATTAAAAAAATCACTAGAACGTTTGTTTCTACCATTTTTCATAATTATAACAAGCTTTTAAGTAACTAAGATTATTTTAATTCTGTTTCACACGAATGCTTTAAAATTATCAAAACACATTTATGATATAAAAAGTTATCTCCCCTTGAGTAAGGTACAGCAAAATTTTTACCCCAAGTTTATTGAAAATGTTTAAACTCTTTTGTCAGAATTTAAATTTTTTATACAAAATATTGATATTAATTGAAAAATCTTAATGTGAGTATAACTGAATACTAGAGAACAGAGAGATTTTTCAATTTTGCTCTGTTAAAAATTCTCTCGGGTTGGACTGATTCATGAAAAGTCTTAGATTACAATTTATTTATCCAATTTTAGATCCTTTATCAGTACTTACTACATTGGACATTTCATATGTAATTTTTTAAACGAAAAAGAAAAGTATGTCGATTGTTTGACAAATTCACACATAGAATCGAAAAAATTGGATTGGAGAATGGTGGTAACCGCCTTCTTCCTTGAATATTTTTTCATAAATGCCTAAAGATCAGGACAGATTTAAGTATTTAAGTTTATTTAAATGTTTCGTTTAAAAATATCAATAATTTCATTTAAGAATTAAAATACCCATAACTCCCTCTAAACTACAGGACTTTGTTATCAATGACTATTAAACTGTATTTTTTAAAGTTATATATATAATCATGAATTTGTCTCTATTAATGTATTAATGAAAATATGATGTATGTAATTTATTCTATGGTTTGATATCATTATGTTTGGGGAAGTTTATTTTTAAAGGTGATTTTTTTTTTTTTTTTTCAGAAAGAAATTTACTTTCTGTAACCATGGTAATGTAAATGTATTAAAATAACTTTTAGACTGTCAAAAAATGTTCAAATTTTGTGTTTTTGAGTCTTAATTTTCTTGGTTCTTTATTATACACTACTTAAATGTCAACCTCCTTTCACATATGATCTCAAATATATTGATTAATCTGGCCCATTTGTAACAAGTAGTCTTGCCATAATTCAACATTTTATCTCATAATTTTTTTTAATTTTTGCCAAAAATTTACTAGTCATTTGTATGATAAAGTTTATTGGTTGTGAATTTAATTTTCAAAAGGCATTACAACTTCTTAAATTTATAACAATGAACATTTTCAACCCGATATAACTAGCACTCAATCTGATATGTAAAACTGGGTGTCAAACAATGAATTCTAAACCTGATAAAACTGTTAATCAATACATGTATATGCAGAACCTAGTCGAAGTAATCAATAAATGTCAATCATGATTGAACTGTTAATAATATATGTTTTTCTTTACCAAATGACTCTTAGTGTATGTTAAACCTTATTGAAATGTCAATAATATATGTTAAATCTGATTGAACTTTAAGTCAAGGAATGTTAAACCTGATTGAACTGTCAGTCAGGGTATGTTAAACCTGATTGAACTGTTAGTCAATGTATGTTAAACCCAATCGAACTGTCAGTTCATGTACAAAATGTATATTAAACCTGAATCAACTGTTAATAAAACCTCATTAAACATGTTAGACAGTCATTCATTTAATATCAATCATATTTTTTGGAGGAAAGATGATTCAGTTCATTTATACTCACTTTTGTAAATAAACATGCATTATATTTATTTTTTTACAAAATACGATGTAGTATTTTTGTTTTGTTTTGTTAATTTTACATTTTTTTATACATACAGCTAAGATAGCATTTTTTTATTACTTTGTAAGACTGTGATAAATGGTAAAAGTCTTGCCCTGTCTATGCAGTTTCTTGGATCAATAGTGAGAAAGTATTGTTGTGTCTATGCAGTTTCTTGGAACAATAGTGAGAAAGTATTGTTGTGTCTATGCAGTTCTTGATAACATTCATATAATGAAGATAAAATGTTTAAGAATTATCCCCCTCCCCCCCCCCCTCCCAGTTTGGACAAAAATTTAAAGGTTAAAGAAATAATTATCAACAACCATTTAATATACTGAGTGAGGGAAGAGGAGGATTTTGAAAACAAAAAAAATAACTGACTCACCATGCAGAAAAGACAGTTGGAATTGCTGACTAAAACCAAATGCTGCAAATAGTTCTGAAGCAGGAGAAATTAAAATGACAATTAATGAATTCAATCTTCAGAAGGACTGACAATTATCACAGCAAGCAAAGAAAAGATCTTTCTGTCCCTTTGTCACGCAGAATATCAAATTGTTGTCCCATTACCTGAAATTCCTTATTTAGAGTCATGTGAAATGATTCAGACGAGCATTTTTATTGTGGCCATGTTGTCTCATTTATTATTTGAATAGAAGTTTGTTCAGGGTATTTCTACTATTTGGTCCAGTAAGAAAAGTATATTAATATAAGTATACACATATCATGCATATAGGGAAAAAGCTTTAGATTAAAAAAGAAAATCTATATAATTATATGCTGATGGCAGAAATAGTCCTCAGACTTGAATTGACAAGCAGGTATACCAATAAAAATAAAATATGTTTACTATTTTTGTGTTTTTACTTGTGTTGATCAATGTCATGTTTGTCATAAACATTATCACAATTCGTTTTCATTTTGTTACTGATCTTGTATATATAAAAACTCTTTCCAGAACGTTTTTGTTCCATTGAACTATCTTTAGAGGTATGTGGTATTATATACCCCAGCTCCAACAAATGGAATATACTTATTTGGTTTTTGTTTTGTCAGATTTTATAAACTTTCCTTTTTTTATGCCCCCGCCGCCATCCTGTCCATACGTCCCCAAAATTGGTTTCCATTCTCTAACTTTAGTTTGCCTCAATCAAATGTTATGCAACTTGTACACAATGCTTATCACAGATCAAGTTTGAAATTGGGTGGTGTCACTTTTACCATTCTTGAGTTGTGCCCCTTTATAAATGGAAAAATTGCTAAATCTGTTGTTTCCATTCTCTAACTTTAGTTTGCCTCAACCAAAGACACATTCTCCATTTATTTTTACTTACCTTGGTGTTCGGTATTTTAATACTTTTGTTTACCCCTGTTTGTCCTTCAGTCTGTCAAATCAGAGCTTTTTGATATTTGGTTCCAAGCATCATATGGTAAGCAATACCTTTGACACATATTCAGATCATTAAAGCAAAGCTGAGGAAAGGTAGAATCATAACTCACAAGTCAAAGTTGAAGAAAAGACTACACAAAAAAACTAAACATTAACCCCACCAAAAATTGGGTGATCTCAGGGGCTCAGGAGGTGTAAGCAGATTCTGCAACACATGTGACACCAGTCTATTTATACATCAATAATACAGGTAAATGATAATTCTCATTTATGTGGTAAGACATATAATAATAGGGGATTGGTCATTGGCTCTTATTTTGCCCTAAGACATCACCAAATTCTTAAACCTATCAGTCATATAAATTTTTAGGCCCCTGCCGTAGGGGAGGGGGCATTAAGTTTTACACTTGTCAGTCTGTACGTCCGTACGTACGTCCCAAAATTGGTTTCTGTTCTCTAACTTTTGTTTGCCTCCACCAAATGTTATAAAACTTATACACAGTGCTTATTACTACAAAACACAGATCAGTGGCGGATCCAGAACTTTTCATAAAGGGAAAGGGGGGGGGGGGCGCCCTCTCCAGTCATGCTTCAGTGATTTGCTATATAATCAACCAAATTTTTCCCACGAAAGGGGGGCCTTTAAGAAAAATTTTCTAAATCTAAATCTTGACAGATGGTGAAGTTTTGAAAAAAACCACATTTTTTAGAACAAAAGATAGACAGGACTGTTACAGCTAGAAACCACATAGACATTAGAAAAATAAGAATCACAAAGAATAACTGTATAAACTAAAAGAAGAGTAACACGAACCACTTTTAAACAAAACTAGAGGTGATCTCGGAAGCTTTAGAAGGGTAAGCAGATCCTACTCCACTTGTATCACCCACCATGTTGCTATTTCAACTACAAATTTGTTTTTAATTCCGATTCTGTGGTGTCACAATCGAGGAACAGTAGACAGGGGTGTAGTTATGACAACTGGACCATATTCATGGTCATTTGTCACACAGATATTCCATCATAGTCAACAAACCATAATAGTGTCCGTACAACTTGTAAAGAGATGACTAACTTTACCATCAGAAATCCCTTGGTTCAATAGTTGCTTTTTAAGCAGAAACTCTTTATGAAGGAAATCATGTTAGGAAACACAAGCTGTGGAACATTGTATCAACTAGGATATATACACTACTTGTGCTGGCCATGCTGGACCTTTTTACACATGGAAATAGAAAGTTCACAATTGGAAAGCAGAAATCCATTCTATTGTCATAAAGTTTTGTTCTCAACTGACCACATACATTGTCAACTTCTATATGCAAGACAAGACATGAGGTTGACTTAACTTTATGTGTAACTTTCTATTCCAAGTTCCATGGGAAAGATCAGTTCAACATCGCCACCGAACTTTAAATTATTTAGTGTGAGGACCTCTTTTTAACGAAACCTAAAGTTACAGGATAATGCTAGCTTCTTTTCATTCATCGTGGGAAGCTCCGATATGATGTCTGCCTCATATGGATAGAGGAACCAGCCAGCAAAAAGAAGGAACACAGTTAGTTCCCATATAAATGCTGATTGATGTAAAGTATGTCCTAGGATTTCAACCAAAACTGATCTATAGAAATAATATGCTATTTCTAAATAACGTTAGGATATATAGCAGTTTGACAAACACTAATTTTGAACATTGATAAGCTTAACATTTCATTACAAAGGATTTGGTTCGGGTGGTTCATAATACTATAGGGAGGTAACTCTGTAAAAATCGGCTGAACGTTTTAATCACTTTAGTTTAACACACTGTCATGAACCATAGTTTTTCATCAAGTTTGGTATCTGGGATCACAAGATCGCTTAGGTCTAGTTTTTCATCAAGTTTGGTATCCGTGATCACAAACGAGATCGCTTAGTTCTAGTTTTTCATCATGTTTGGTATCTGTGATCACAAGATCGCTTAGTTCTAGTTTTTCTCACTAATTCTGAGTGAAAGTATGGAAAGCCTCAGCTGTCATATATTAGAGATTTACAAAACGTTATGCTGAAGCTTAAAATGTAAAGTTGAGACAGCGTGATGTTGAATTGAGTCATCAAAATGCTAACTCTAAATTACAATATGCTAAGTTGAATTTGCGCAATGTTGACTTGCAATGACAAGTGCTTTAGTCGTGATAGTATAATGATAGGTCACGATGTTGTGATGATATGCCAAACACACGTAACGTTGGGTTTAAAGTACATGATGTGAAGTTGACGTTGCATGATGTTAGCTTGCAGATGGATACTGCTCAGTCATACACTCTGATAGCTATGATAACAAATAAAATGAAAAGCTAACATGTATGGTGATGATGTTCAGTTAAGATAATACGATGCTACACCACAATATTGAAACGAAAGGCTTACCATACAATTTGTTGACTTAAAACAACACGATGCAACGTGTTAAGCTAAGATGCTCACTTGAAACTACACGACGTACAGTTGAAATTTTGTAATGTTAAGCTACGATAGCACGATGTTATATCATTATAATGTCACTATAGGCTTATTATACAATTTGCTCATTTAAAACTACACAACGTACAGTTGAAAGTACGTGATGTTAAGCTAAGATGGCACGTTGTTATATCATTAGAATGTCACGATAGGCTTACCACACGATATGCTCGTTTAAAAATTCACGACGTACTGTTGAAAGTACGTGATGTTGAGCTATGATAGCAATATCTTATATCATAATAATATCACGATAGGCTTGCCATACAATATGCTCATTTAAAACTACACGACGTACAGTTGAAAGTACGTGTTGTTCAGCTAAGACAGCACGATATTATATCTTTACAATGTCACGATAGGCTTATTATACAATTTTCTCATTTAAAATTACACCATGTACAGCTGAAAGTGCGTGATGTTAAGCTAAGATAGCGCGTTGTTATATCATAATAATATCACGATAGGCTTGCCATACAATATGCTCATTCAAAACTACACGACGTACAGTTGAAAGTTCGTGTTGTTGAGCTAAGATAGCACGATGTTATATCATTTTGACGTCACGAGGGGCTTATCATACAATGTGTTGACTTGAAACTACACGATGTAAATTTGAAGTAGTTTGGTCTTAACTTGAAACAGTTAAATGTTAAGTTATAAAAACAGAACGTAAAGTCAAAATAAAACAATGATAGGATGACATATACTACTTGTGCAGAATTGAAGATTTTTGGTGTTTAATTCGAATATAGTACAAATATTAGATCGTTTTATGTTAAATTGAAAGACAATAATGATGCGTAAAACATTGCAGAATTATATGAATTGAAACTGCAATTCTATGGAAAAGAATGAGGGACAAATCCCCAGGTTTTTTTTTATTCATTTGCAAGTTCGGAGGCAAAATGATATACAAAGAAAGATTCATAAAGCAAAATAATTACCCATCGCTATAGTTTACACTTGAATACAGTTTTGCCGTATATTTTACATGTTTTGTTTGGATCTTTTTTATGATTAAAAACCAGACTTTTTTATGAACAATATTTAAGAAAATATTTATCTATATTGTGTGTTAATATATACAACATAATATTGTGCTTATAAAACTTATGACTGTGAGGGTCAAATTTTAATCATATAAAATCACATCTATGTAAGAGTTATCGGAGAATTTGTATTTACCACTCCCGTTTTCCACGAAATAAAACATAAGAATCTGGAGTCTTAATCTTAAAAAACAAAGATCAACTGATATGACAAATAATACGCGTAGGACTTAGAGGGTCAGAGCTATTTCAAAATTCTCCCCCCGGTCTTGTTAGAGGTATCTGAGAATTTTCTTTTCCACGAAATAAAACAAAAGAATCTGGATTTAATCAAAAGCGATGCGATTACGATTTCCATAGAATGCCAGAGACAGTTTGTCGACTAGTTCGTTGAAAATTCGGCTAGGCAAGTAAAGTATGTCTTGTAACAAAGCAGGGTTTATTCATATTCATATCACACTTACATGTTCTCGTCCTGATATGCATGTAATATTTGCCACTGTACGTAAAACGCACCCCTTTTCCCCGAAATAAAACCAAAAAATCTGGACTTAATCAAAACCGATGCTATTTGGATTTCCATAGGTTGTCAGAGACGGTTTGTCAACTAGTTTGTGAAAAATTCGGCTAAGCAAGCAAAATATGTCTTGTACAGAGCCAATACTTATTCATATTTATATCACTCATATCACACTTACATATTCTCGTCCTTATATGCATGTAATATTTGCCACTGTACACTAAATACAAATACATTTTCATCAATTCTTGTTTATGAAATGGAGACTATTTTAAGCACGTTCATCGATTTGACACCCTGTAGTTCTTGTTTTTTTGGGAGCTCCTCGGAAATTATAACACATTCCTTCTTTATTTGCAAAATCGCCAAGTGACGGGAGCCACATATGAAACAGGATCTGTTTAACCTTCTGGAGCACCTGAGATCACCCCTTTTTTGAGGGTTTCGTG